TTACTCGATTGAAAATACTGTAATCGGTGGTTGTACAGTCTTATTTCCTGAATAAAAGTGTTCTAAGAAAATCAACAAACACAATTATAGCAGCCGATCCAGGAATTTTCAGAAAACATTTTTTCACACCAGAGCTTACATAGGCTAACTTATATTTCAAGACAAGTTGATTTATAAACTTTACTTTGAGTAGTAACACACGATTCAGCTATCGTTGCAAGAATTTTGGTATTGGGCAAACAATACGAAAAGAAAAGATCTTATGGAAAGGGGGGGAAGGGGTGCGGACCCCTTACACCTTCCCCCTGGATCCGCCACTGATGTTGATTCTTTTCCAATCTCTAGGTACGCGAAACTCTCATTCAGAAAATGCCAAGTTTCAGCTCAAGAGGGAAGTATAATTTAAAGGGAAAAGCTGGTGACACTCGATTCAACAGTGTATCACTTGAAACAGCCACGCCAACGACGACCTCTGTCCGACTCGTGACGACAAACTCCCGACAATTCAAGGAGCCACCTTCGTTAAAACTTGTGAACCTGGAGCAGGAGCTAGCGTCGGCTCAGCAGATGGAAATCGAAAACAACTCGGTGAGCCTCACGAACCTGGCGAAGTTACCGCCGAGGTATGCCGACATGCTCGTCGACGCTCCAGCCTCGAAGCTTTTTAGTGTAAGCAAGTCTCCGATGAAAACTACATCTTCGGTGAATCTCGTGTCTCCTAATGAGTACCCGATTACAGCGAAAGAAGCTTACTACAACCCAACGTACGCATATTGGAATGGTCGGAACGATTCTCATTAAACTGCGCTCGATCATAAAAAGGCTATGTAAATAATATTGAGTTTAGTTAAAAATTGTTCTGTTTCCTTAGAAACATCGTACTTATGGAGGAATTATTTAAACAAAATAGTTGTTCAATAACAGATTACCTGAGGATAAAAAAAAACTGTAAAAAATGACGATTGCCGCTGCGTAAATTTGATCGATGATTGAGCAAATCGATGACAACTTGGTGAGCCTCACGAACCTGGCGAAGTTACCGCCGAGGTATACCGACATGCTCGTCGATGCTCCAGCCTCGAAGCTTTTTAGTGTAAGCAAGTCTCCGATGAAAACTACATCTTCGGTGGACCTCGTGTCTCCTAACGAGTATCCGATTACACCGAAAGAAGCTTACTACAACCCAACGTACGCGTATTGGAATGGTCGGAACGATTTTGATTAAAATGCACTCATCGATCATAAAGAGGCTATGTAAATAATATTGAATTAAGTTCTACATTGTTCGGTTTTCTTAGAAACGTCGTACTTATAGAGGAATTATTTAAACCAGATAGTTGTTCAATAAAAGACTACCTGAGGATAAAAAAAACTGTAAAAAAAAGACGATTGCTGCTGAATAAATTTGATCAATGGTTGAGTAATAAACATCATCAACAAGATCAAGTCAAGTATTGACAGGCTTTCTCAGGACATATTTCGATATAAACCTTAAATATTTTTGTTTTTGTTTGCTCGTTTGTTTGTTTCGTTAATGAATATGAGTATTGCGCTATTGCGCACCCCTTACAGCCAATGATCGTGTGAGGATAAATAGAAAAAGCCTGCGTTCAGATTTAGCAACGTTTATGTAGCCGTGACATACCTTCCAGCGTTGCAGAAGGCCTGGTGTTTCATGAAAATCAACGATACACAAAGTAACCACTGCGGAGTTCTAGTCTCGGGTGATTTTTCACATCCCTATAACTTCTTCTCGCGGCTTCACTTGCGTTTTCGCAGTTCCACAACTCAAAACCCTCCTTAAACCGCAAGCTATTGTTAGATGCCTAACCCGTGACTTCCAGTTTACGCGGTTCCGGTGCGATGTAAATCCACAAACTCGATTGGCTGGGCTACAACTCTGATGTCACGACCATGATAGAAAACTCAAAGATCTCGTATTTTTCGACAGTGAAGACCATTTAGTTCAGTACACTAAGAGAGTTAATTCTGACTCACTTATTCTGAAATTTAAAATTATGTATAGAAACTCCCCGAAAAACTGTCTCTTGAGAGATGACGCGCATAAAATGTATAACATGCGCATGCACTCATTCCATTGTCACGCAATAATAACCTCTTGCCTGAGACATGTTACTTCATGTCACAACGCACACATTCGGTTTTCATCATGGCGTTGAGTCGTTCGTTGTTCGAGGTTGTCCAACCTTATACAGACTGTATAGCTAAATCAGAAATGCCAGTGAAGACAACTGTCATCACGGGGCTTCTGTATGGCTTCAAAGCATTTCTTCAACAAATTGTCTTCAATTGTCCTCGGGATCACCACATCCTCTATGGTTGCCTTTTCATATGTGGTCCCGCTGTCGTTTTGTTTTGCCTCTCCATGTTAATATCTGAGTCCTTCTGGACCCTTGTCACTGGCTGCTTCCGTCTCCAATCGCGTAAGCGAAGACTGGTGTGGTGGAAATCAAGTAAAAGTGTGTATTTGTCGCTTCTCCCGCCGTGTATATGGTTCGTCTTCGCTTTCATGGAAGGCGATTTCTATGTCTGTTCAACTCTCGGACCCATTAAACCCGCTCTTGACCACGCCACTGATGAAAGCTCAAGAGAAAAGATTCAAGAGAAGTTTGCCCAAGCGAAGAGCTTATCGGCGATTATATCTTGGTGCATTCTGATAACACTGGTAGTGACAGTGACAGTTTGTGTCACGCTTAGCAGAATTCTTGCGCAAGTCGACCCAAAACTTCAAGGCGAAATTGAATTTGACGAGATTGAAGCACAAGAGGCGGTGAACTTATGGAATGGTCGGTTACAAACCCTCGCCAAGGCTCAGGCTTTTGAAGTTATCGAGGAAGTCTCAAACACTTTCATTCACGACGAAGAACATTCTGATGTCTCGGAACAAGTTCGTCGAGGAGCAGAATATCTGAAAAGACTGTACCCCAGATATGGAGGAGTGGTTAAGGGACATTTCCGTAACGACAGTTGGAGACCGAGGGATGAGCGACTAAGAGAACTTCTCGATCGATCGCCATCCACCGAAATGCTAATAAATGCCGATAAGAAGTATATAAGGGGCTATGGTGTACGTTACACGACCAGCATATGAGCATGATTGAGTCACGCAATCCTTTGATCACGCGAATAACCAATCTACAAATGGCTGCTTAAAGTCCTGGGACACTTAACGCGATATAACAAAAGTCGAGTCTTTCCTTACCCTCTTCCCCAAAAAATGTTGAATTCTAGGCACTTTGTAAACTTTATCAAGATGTGATAACTGTTTGCTTTACCAACATTGTTGGAAGGGGGAAGGGGAGGGGAGGATCTGTGAAAAAGCATGAATTGGCCAAAGATGGTGTTTGTAATATCCTTGGGTAGAGGATATATTTTCAATAACTGTCCCAAGGAGTTTTTACTTGCATTGTAGCTTCCTAGCTCACTTAATAGAAGTGACCATTTAGGAAGCTCAAGTTTAGACCTTATTAAACCCACAATTTTTTCAGGTTTATTGTTCTACAATTTCTACAACTTCAGTATACCTGTGAGGATAACTTTGACATTTGTTATCACCCAAAGGTGAAACTAAGTTGAACAAATACTTCAGTTATTTTTGTATGATTAAAGGATTCTAGATACCAACAATTTGGCCAACAAGAAAAAATTTGAAAATAATTTTAAATATTGTTATTGGTTGTCAATTGCTTTAACTCTTGTGCCTCAGGCCCTATTTTCCAGTTTTATTTACTATTTTACGAGATTTTTGGGAGATCATTAGGGGAATGTGGGTTTTCTAATAGCTTGGTAACTCTTCCACTCCCCAGATCTCATTAGTAATTCTCCTTACTGTATGCAGAGCAATTCTTATGATGTTTGTTTTAAGAATTTGGTAGTGGATCAACTAACACACCCTTAATTCATATTATTTTTTACTCTCACTACTTGTCTATTTCCCTCTATTCTACTGCATGCTGAATACAAGGAAAAGAGGCCCCTGCTAGCAGGGAACTTGTCTGCTTGATTCTGGATTGATATTGTGAGGAGAAATTCTTTCTTGGTCACTTAAAGGTTAAATCTGTGCTTCTAGTTAGCACAAGAAGTCAATTTGAAGAGCAATTAAACTTTTTGTGAATGCAATTCTGTTTATGCCTATGCAAGAACCCTTTCTGTTATATTTATTATTTTTCCCAATAAAAATGTGAAGAACAGGGAAATGTTTTTCCAATAAAGCAATATATTTTTAAATGAGGGACTTGGATGTTGTGGATTTGATATTTAATCTGATTAAATTTAGACTGCAACTTAACCTGAGGAAATTAAACACGAAATATCTGAAATGTTTTTGTAAATATCATGACTTTTTGTGCCTCTCAAGCCCTATGAGATATTTAAACAAGAATAAAAAAATCCCTAAGAATCAGATCAGAAGACCCTTCTCGTTTCTTAAAAATTAACAACCTCAACAAAGACAAAGCAATCTTGAATTAATTTTTTAAATATTTCGTCTGAAAGTGATTTTTCTTCAATACATATTATTGATTTAATATGTTAGCACTGCTCATGGTTCGAGCTTCCTAGAATTCAGCAACGTCAATTTTCATACATAACCTTGGCATTGCAAATTTCAGTACGATTCATCGGCGTCGTCGAATAGTTTTTTTAACGCACCTTTCGGCTGCGCAAAGCCTGACATCAAATCATCTCAATACGAGACCTATATTCCAGAATCACCACGTCCTTGACGAACCATGACGCAAAATGTTCTCGAATATTTGTCTCCCTATAACAAAGGGTAAGCTACATGTGACCAAGGGTCTTTATCGACGCGTGCACTACGAATTGAGACCTTCACACGGTTGCTCTAACACTTTACACGCGAATCACATTGTTTGGTTATAAAAGTGATCATGTGTTGTCTAAAGAATTGGCGCGAATATTCAACCAATCAGAAGTAAGAATGATACTGATCCAGTCTCCTTCCGTGTTTTAGACTCACACCAAAATGGCGGACGATCTGCCGTTCAAGGCTGAGTACGCGAAGTCGAACCGTTCTTCTTGCAAATCGTGCAAGGATAATATCTCAAAAGATAGCCTGAGGCTGGCGAAAATGGTCCAGGTAAGGAGAATTTTGAAGAATATTTTGTGTGATCTTGATGAAATAGAGCGATCTCATTCTCAAAAATGTGAAATCTACATGTCGACTCGTGTGCATAGCATATGGGTTGCGTCAAATTATTGAAAGGGTTTTGCTAACAAACTCTTTCCTCTCTGTTTTTCAGTCCCCACACTTTGATGGCAAGGTAAGAAATTCAGCTTTTCGAAAGCAGTAGCATACAAGAATTTTTCAGTTATGTCTGTAGGTGAAAGGAATTACATAATTATTGTTGGAACATAAAGCGCTTTCTGAGAATCCAGTTTTCGGGAGTTGGGGGTAGTTATGATAGTGCTGAAATTGGCGAAACAAATTCTGATTTCAAAGGAGTAAGATTAAATTTCATGCAAATTCCGTCAATATTTTGAGAGGCCAAGTATGATTTTATTAGTTTTTTTTTTCATTGGTCATTGGTGTATCTCTTTAGCGCTTAGAAACTAAGAAAACATTTTGGAACCTTGAAAGGGTGGAATGGCCCACCATAAGTGTGGATTGATGAGAAATTAAGATCAAAAGTAATAATTGTGGCAGAAAATTTTACTGGTAGCACCTTGAAAGATCTAGAGCCTAGCCTGCACAATCATTTTTAGCTGTGTTCAACCAGTGGCACATCCAGGGGTAGGGTCAGGTGAAGGGGGAGGGGGGGGTGTCTGCACTCTTACCATTATCTGACTGGTTAGGAAACATAAATATTCTTTTTTTCTGAATCAAAGTTTGAATCCCTTCCCCACCTTAAAAAGTTCCAGGATCCACCCTTGTTATTGCAAAATATCAATTAATGTAGATGGCATTTTATGGTCCTTTGAATCATAGATTCCCCATTGGTTTCACTACAACTGTTTCTTCAAGAAGATCAAAGCAAAAGCTTCCAGTGACATAAGTGGCTTTGATTCCTTAAGATGGGATGATCAAGAGAAGATCAGAGGCAAAATGGATGGGGGAGGAGAGGGTGGGGGTAAGGGAACTCAACCAGCTAACAGTGTTGCAGATGACCTTTTGGTAGAGTATGCTAAGTCTAGCCGTAGTAAATGCAAAAACTGCAAGGAACAGATTGACAAGGTAAGATTTGACCTGTGGTTTGATACATTTATTACAATGTTCCAACCGACTGGATGGGAGATCAAGATGGGAGAATCTTTCACCTGCTGAGTCTTGTCTCTGCATTGGGATTTCGAGCCAGGCATTTTCCCCTTTGACTTGCCCGAACTAAGTCAATGAGTTTCTTATCATGTGACCACCAAGTCCATAAAAATTTGAAATTATGTTTTATACCAAATAGGGTGTGATTACATCACATAAAGGTTGTTCACAGGACAGCTATGAAAAAAGATTCCACAGAGAAAACTTTTCCTTGTTTTCTTTGAGTCAGAACAAGAAACTCACAGTTCATTGAAAGCATGACTTGAAACCATCTATTTTCTGTCTAGTTTAGAGTTGTTGTTCTTGAAAATGCTGTTTTAACCCATTAATTCCCATGAGTGATCAAGACAGAATTTCTCCATACAATATCAATACAATATCAGGTAAACAAGTGACAAAAATAAAGAAAAATGTCAATTAGGATATTATTAGTTGATTCACCAACACATTCTCCAAACTAACATTATAAGAATTGTATAACAGGCAGCAAAGAGAATTGCTAATAAGATCTTGGTTAATTAAACAGTCTCTTGTTCATAGGGAGAAGTTCGCCTTGCCAAGGTCAAGGAGCCGGATGCTGAATCAAGTGCTCCAGCTGGTGTTGCTATTCCCTGGTGGCATCATATTGATTGCTTTCTGGAAAACCGTGAATCTTTGGAGGTTGACTCTTCTGTGACAGCTGAGTCATTCTCTGGATTCACTATCTTGAAGAAGGAAGACAAAGACTTGTTGAAGAGCAAACTGGGAACAGTGAAATTGAAGAAGGCTGGGAAAGGGAACAAAAGAAAAGCACAAGCAGTGGATGAAACAGATGCTAAACGAACAAAGACAGCAGAGGAAGATGAATGTGAGAAAAAGTTGAAGGTCAGTCCTCCTTGGCCCATGGACCCTCAAGCTCAAACTAGTATTTCTCCCATCTGACTACTTCACATTTTGTTGTAAATTAGACAGGAGAATTTGGTGTTGTATGATGATTTCACACTTCAGCTGATAAGCCTGTCTTTTTTCATCATCTGTTTGTTATTAACATGCTGCAATTAGAAGGAGAAGTTACTCTACATGTCTGTCACATATTGGAGTTGAAGGTTTAAATGGATGAGTGGGCACACAAGATTTCCTTATGACTGAATTTTGTCAACAAACTTTGTTTTGGGGAAAGTGTCTTAAATCTCACAGTTTGGCATTTAAAAGAAGAAGATGCAGAAACTTTTCCAGTTTTTCTGTAATTGAATTGTTTGTTAACTCCCATGAGTGACCAAGACTGAATTTCTCCTTACAATATCAATACAATATCAAGCAGACAAGTGATCAGAATAAAGAAAAATATTGATTAGGAGATTATTAGTTGATCCAATAACAAATTCTCCAAACTAACATCACAAGAACTATGTGGCAGACAGTAAGGAGAATTATGAATGAGATTTTGGGAGTTAAAGGTTTAACTATGTTTTTCTTTCACCAGGAACAAAGCAAATTGGTATGGAAAATACGAGATGATTTGCAAAAGAACTGCTCCTTGCCAGAGCTGAGAGAAATGTTGGAAGACAATGGACTCAGTTCACAAGGAGGGGAAAGCTCTGTAAGTTGACTGTATGCACATATGTCTTACATCAACAGACCCTTGTTATTTAGCTTTGTCTTCAAAATATTTTTTCTTTGTAGCTTCTTGACAGATGTGCTGATGGAATGACATTTGGAAGACTACTACCATGTGAGGAATGCAAAGGAGGTCAACTTGTGTACAGGTCTGTTATAAAAATACTCAAATATGATTTTTATCCACTATGTTATTATCAATGGCCATTATTGCTTCCATGCTAATATAACAGATTTTCATGAAAGGTCACAAAGTCTGTAATTTTTTCTGTAATTATCAATTAAAAGAAGTCTCCTACATACATAAAAATCCCTTGTTCTTGCATACTGGTTGTGCTAAATCTCTGAGATGAATGTAAATTTGAATGAAAGTATTAACCCTTTATACCCTAACATCATAACCAGTATGCATATTCTCCTTACTGTTCTCTATACATTTCCTTGGCTCTAACAAGGAGAATTTGTAAAACCATTAAGAGCTTCATTAGTTTCTGATCATTTCCTTTATTCTCATGACTTAAACATCTGATTCAAGGGATAGATTGTAAAGAGAAATTAGAACCTTGTCACTCTTAGGGATTAAAGGGTTAAATAATATTGATCTCTGCCTAAAAAGTACAACAGTGTTTTCTCTAAAGAAGTTTTTTTTAAAATTTTTTTTCTATTGTGTAGTTTGGGTGTCAAAAGAGGCTGGTGGGATAAAGCAGTCAATGAACAAATTTATGGGAATTTGGGTGTCAAAAGAGGCTGGTGGGATAAAGCAGTCAATGAACAAATTTATGGGAATTTGGGTGGTTTGTGTGATCCAGAATTAAATATCTCCTGATGTTAGATTTTAGAGGTTGGCTTTTTTGTTGTAATACAGCAAACACATTTTTTGTTAGATGTAACAAATAAACTACTTTCAGTGATATAAAAAATTTGTGCAATTTATTTCAAAAAACATCTCATGCCCCCATAACTTTTTTTGTTTATTTATTATGTTTCTATTTGTCTTTTTAGGACAGAAGGATATTGTTGTACAGGAAATTTAACTGGCTGGACCAAATGCACCTTTGTAACAAAACAACCCAAGCGAGAAAAGTGGACTGTTTCAAAAGAATTAAAGGAAGAATCAGACTTTTTGTGAGTGCAATGGTTTTTGTTTCAATAACTTTAATTCATTATTGAGTGGAACTTTTATGGGAACACAAGTGTGTTACATTTACCATCAGAGGTAAATTCTAACTCTTCAATTGATTGTTTTGTAGGAAAAACTTCAAATGCAAGAAGAGAGAAAGGATCTTTCCTAAAGTGCCCACTGCTCCTGCTGTTACACCATCCAAAGCAGTAATCAAATCAGAGTTGTCTCCTTCAATGTGAGTCTCTTGGGGCCCATTTCTCAAACTTCCCAGTAACTTATCTGGCCCAAAGCCATATTTCAAGATCAAAATTTAAAGAATAGAGAAGCAGGTTATAGCACTCTAACCTGTCCATCTTGTTTCTTGAGCTGATAGTTTTATTTTGTGATTTTCAAAACTTTTGAAACCCCTATCTTGAATAAAAACAGAGGAGCTTTATGGGCCCATAAGTTACAAGGACCTTTGAGGAACTGGCCTAGGTCTTAGCAACCCTTTTCAGTGTTACTTTAATTCACAACATTTTGTCACTCAGCTTTTGTATCACTGTGCTCAAAAATTCTCAAAGGATCCAGGTGTAAGTCAAGATTTGTGCATCCTAATGAATTTAGCATGGCTTTATCCAGGGGTTTAAAAAAACCCAGTAAACAGCAGTCTATTGCTGCCTGTAACACCTCTCACCACCATATGCAAGCACTGGCTCTTGTGTTTGGGTTTCACCTTATGGCACAGCTGCCTATTGCACTATCGGCAGCCACTTGTGGAAAAAGTCATTGAGACCCCTGCCAATCCAGTGAATATCAATCTCCCACATCCCTAACAGGTCACTGTCCTACTTTGTTTATCCTTTCATTTTGAAGTTTTTCTTTCTCACCATTCTGTTCTTCTGTGGGCCCCCCTCCCCCCCCTCATCTTGGAGGTTGGAGATTCTGTGGCTTTATTGTCAGTGCACTGTACTTGGGGTGAATAGGTGTGGTTCCTAAACCCCAGCTGGATCATTGCATCGTGGGCTTGGGCAAGATGCCTTACTTTCACAGTACCTCTCTCTCTCCAGTCTCCAGGAGTGGAAGAGGGTATGAGAGAACTGACAAAATCCGAGGGGTAATGGTTATTGTAGAAAGTGGCGAGGTTTATCATCTTAGGATAAGCATCTAGCAGTTATCAGCCAGCTAGTGTAGAACCAATGACTTAGCCTTATACTGAAGGTCAATTAACTTGATAGCTGATTTAAAGGGTAAATCAATTGATACTGGTGCCATTTTATTATATTGCAGGGCTTCTCCACTTTCTGCAGCAGCATCTGATAAACCACTTTCCAATATGAAATTTGTTTTAATTGGCAGACTTCAACAAAGCAAGGTACGTGATGAGTGTCTAACTGTTTGACTTTTGATGCCACTTGGTTCACACTTCAGGGATAAAGGTACATGCATATATTAATACACTGACAATTATTTGTAACACACTTTTTTAAGGAGAAAATCACTAAGACAGTACAGGACCTAGGAGGATCAGTGGTGGAGAAGGTTAATGCCCTTTCGGATTGCTGTATTAGCACTCAAGGTAAAAAATTACAGTGCTGAAAATTTGACTCTGCAATGTTACCGGCATCATTTCATTACTAAGAAGACATTTTCAAGGTCAGCAAGATAGTTATTCTCTAGAGGCACAATTTTGCTAGCAGGGTGCAACTTGAAGGTGTAACCTGCAAGAATGCTCTCACTCATTATCAGTAATTCAGCAAGCACATTCCTCTGCTCGTAGGAAGATTTGAGACAAGTTAAGGAGAAGTTTGCTGGAGGTCTGGCACTATAGTGCTAGACCCCTAGCAGACCAACTCACCTTGATCAAGACCTCATATTTCCCACAGGTGAACAAATACTTGACAGTGCAGAAGCATTAACTATGTGGTACTGCTTGCAGGCTATTGAAGGCTTTGATGTATGCAATCTGTGTTCTTGCAGCTGAGGTAGATAAGAAAAGTAAAAAGATGAAAGATGCTGAGAAGTATAATGTGCCAGTTGTCAGTGAAAAATATTTGGATGCTGTCAAAAAGGGAGGGGCTAAGCTGATGATCACACAACACAGTATTGTACCATGGGGAGATAAAAAGGTTTGCTGTTGTCTAAAATTGATCTCATGGTAATATTAGTTTGTCGTTTATCTTAAACTAGTTTGTTAAATCTGCCTTGCTAAAACTAGTAAATTTTTAGGAAATCAATGGCTGGCATAAAGGTTTTTGTTCTGCTTTTAATTTCACCTTTTAAAATTGTGTTCTTAAGCTATGGTTCACATTTTTTCTAGTTTTATATTTTCTCTTGTTTCTTTAATTTTCTTTCCACCACAAAAACCAATACTGCAAATTCCAATTGGTACCTGGAATGGTGAACTAAGAGCCACAACATGGAGGCATCGCTATTGAAATCCTCTTTATCAATTCATTTATTTATTTGAACCATTTATTTATTTTTTTTTATCTATGTCTCCATTTTATTCCTCATCTGATTTGTTTTCTAGGGTAAAAGTATGGTTGATGGTTCTCCTCCTCCATCAGAAGCCAAATCAAAGATAAAGAAAAGTGCTTCAGAAGGTAATGATCATTTTACAAATTTTCACTGTTAGTGCAACTGTGCAACAGTGCAACTACAACAATTTCTGAATAATGCAAGATAAAGCTTGGATCGATTCTCTTTAAGGCTTAGAGTGATTTATTATTTGGGTTAGATTAGAGCAGTCGTCACCTTAAATTACCGATCTGTGTGGTTGTTTGTAATTGGTGTGAGACAACTTGGTTCTGACGACTTGAAAGCACGCCTCAAAGTCATTATAACGTTCGCACATGCGCTGACGTTTTACCACTGTGTATAATTCCCCACATCTTTACAACACCATAGCTCGATTTCAACCAGGGCTTCATTTGATATCGCCTGTCATTTTGAATTTTTTTAACTAAAATTTATCAGGTGGTGGTGCTGCCAAGAAGATGAAGGTTGCCGTCAAAGGTGGAGCAGCAGTAGACCCAGAGTCAGGTAATCAGCCTCACTCCCTCTCATCATCATCATCATCATCTCTGGCGTCTCTCTAAAGCTGATCTTTCGCACGTCCTTTTCCCAGGGGTTGCGTGAAATTGTTCCCCACTTATCTCTGGCTCGGACCATCTCCTTTCACTCCACTAAAGACATCCCGGGCCACACCCTCGTGTCAAGCTTACCACCTTCCCTCCTTCCAGACTTGGTTCCTGTCCCCCCTCTTCCGCCTTAGATCCTAGTATCAATTCTCCTTCCTGTCCACCATAAATTTCTTACAATTTTAGCCTCGAGATTTTGGTGTTAGATCAATAAATCCTCCCCTAGTAAATATTTTTCTTTATTCTCACCACTCTATTCTCGGCAAATGTATGGGAGTGGTAAGGAGAAATTACGTGTGGGTCAATCCTGGGAGTGTGAGGGTGGAAGCTTAATTTGGACATAAGTTCTTGAAATTAATTAACTTTTGGATATTTGTAACACCTAGTTTTCCAGCCTCCGTGTAAGTATCATAATGTGGTCCCTCTAACATTCCGTGTATTTACAATGAATGTCAAGTTAGGAGTACTTTGCTGCTGTGTAGCTTTTGTAAACTTTACATGCGGTCCTTATCATAACAAATTTTGACAAACATACCTGTGTACAACAATTTCCGAATCACCGACAATTCACTCCCGATGAAGTGACCTCGAGTTCAAGATGATGAGAATTGCGGATCAATATCAGTATCTGGGCAACTGCCCATCTACCCCTCCCCTAACCCAACAACAGTCAATTGATAACAAGTTAAGGTGAATGTTGGGTTAGGGGAGGGGTAGGTGGGCCGTTGCCCAGATACTGATACTGATCCAGAATTGCAAGGTATTCCGAGTTCAAGTTGCTTGAAATACGTTGTGGAAATATTTTGATTTCTGTGTTTCAGAGATGGAGGATACGTGCCATGTGCTAGAGGAGAAAGGAAACATTTACAGTGCCACCCTCGGCTTAGTGGACATTGTCAGAGGAACAAACTCTTACTACAAATTGCAAATTTTACAAGCTGATAACGGAAAAGCGTATGTATACCTCATTTATTTTATTGTTTAGATTGGCTAGTTAATTTTCATTTTGACGTCATTTGTGGTCTGTCACTGAACAGACGCACACCAAAATGAATTCTATTCGTTAATCGTGCTTTCTTATCTCTTTGAATGTTACAGTTGTCATATTTTTCGATCATGGGGAAGAGTTGGAACAACTATCGGGGGAAACAAATTAGAGGTACTTTTGTAACTATTAAGAAGCCAAACCCTAAAGAAATATGTGTAACATTTGTCACTTGTCTGGAGTGAAGATGCTGTCTTCCGCGAGGCTTTTGTTACGTTCGAGCCCTTCCATGAAGTATGGGCACCAGGAAACACAAGGAGTTCGCCACTAAGCGTCTGAACTCTTTGAATTTTCCTTACGACAAAACATGTTTCTTCTCAGAAAAAATCACGCTGTGAGTCAGGCAAATATCTTGCTAGAACTTGCATATTCTTGAGTAAATCCAGTAACTTACAGGCCGCTTTAAGATCGTTAACTTTCAAGTTGGGTTTTTTTCTTTTACAAGATGAAGTCGATTCCCTTACAAATCGAAAGACGCTCTGCTCCTAGACTAAGCGCAAAAAGACATCCTAGATTTTTTTGCGGTATGATTCTGAAACAAGCGGGTTGTAGAACTTCTCAGCAATCCAGTCAATATGCTGTGTCCAAACAATTCTATCACAACTTTTTTTTTATTCCACCTTGTTTCTCGGTCTGTTTGATTCCTAACATACAAATTCTTCATTATTATTCTCCGTATCCCAAAGAAATCTCACTGAATGAATATAAAAAAAATTAGAGTAACAATTTCAAAATCTTGAGAACAGTGAATGTCGCAAGCCAACCAAATTTACTGATGTTGTTTCTTCCACTGAAAATGGAAACTATTTGTGTTTTTTAGCGTTGCGGATCGCCAAGGTCAGCCATCGAAAAATTCATGGAACTCTACGCTGAAAAAACAGGTATACTTCTCATTCAACTTTTCTCCGCATGTCTATATATTGAAATATTAACATGAAAAATTGCTCTGCTGTGTTGTCTTTGTGTAACCTGCAGGAAACAGTTGGCTGAATAGAAAGAATTTTGTCAAACACCCAAATAAGTTCTACCCATTGGAAATTGACTATGGACAGGTACGTGTGTAAACCGTTGCCCAGAGAGATTTGGGTACGAGATTAGTATGTGTGTAGTGGGCGCAAATACGTATTGATACAGTTATGGTGGAACTTTTGTAAGGTTTGTGTACTTATTTTTCCTTTTTGTACAGGATGACGAAGAGTTAAAGACAACCATTGCAGCCGGAAGTAAATCCTTGCTACCTATGCCTGTCCAAGAACTTATTAAAATGATATTCGATGTGGAATCCATGAAGAAGACGCTGGTAGAGTTCGAAGTGAGTCAGAATTTTAACTGTAGTAAGAATTCTTATTTTTTTTACTTTGGGACTGCTGTGAGCACCAAGATGAACTAAGACGAATGCTTTGAAAGCAGTGAGAAATATATAGAACATGGACGTGTTCTTTTATCTTTCTTTCAGATCGATTTGAAGAAAATGCCATTGGGAAAACTAACAAGACGACAGATTGAAAGTGCGTATTCTGTTCTGGGAGAGGCGCAGAAAGTAAGTGATATATTCTCTAGTGTTTTTGTGAACGTGTATACCATCAATAACTGAATAATTGCCGCTGATAGTGCCTAGATGCAAAGGAGCAGATTGACTTGAAAAATAAAAGAAAACATTCAAGTTCACCGTTTACAATCCACTGAAATCTACTAAAACCTTGACATTATCATTCAGTTTCTGTTTAGTCTCACTTCAAGAGAATTTGCCTTCCTTAGACAGTAACTTTCCTCAGGCTTCCATTAAAGGCAATTTCAACGTCTACAACACAACTCAAATCATTATGACGTGGCTCACTTTCAGTTGCTCACAACTTCAATGTTTGAATTTTGCCTTTTGACGTTTAGGATGACGTCTCTTGTGTTTGAAAAGTTTGAGCGACATTTGACGATTAAGCTTGTTCTTCTCCAGTGCAAATTACAGCATGTTGCTTTCAATGGAGTATTTGGTTTTGCTTACTAACAATCTTTTGATTATCTCGTGCCAGTTAATTTCAGACGGAGGTAGCAGCAATTCTCTTCTGGATGCGTCAAATAGATTCTATACCCTGATCCCGCACGACTTTGGTATGAAGAAACCCCCTCTCTTGGACAACTTGGAACTAATTCAGGTAAAATTGGGTGCGCATGTTAGAGATTTTCCTTCCACCCTTAGGAATGACAGAAATGTCTCAGCCTGTGTGAGAAGATGAACCAAGCACTTTTTAACAAAGTAGTTTAACACATTCTTGGAGAATGCCCAAAGCCGTAGCTTTTTCATATTTACTGTCTTTAACTGGCTGTTTTTTCAAAAGCCCTTGTTGCAAGGAATTAAAGAGGTAACTTGTGAGATGGCATCGATTGGGGGAAGGGTGTTAATAAATTTTGCTTTTGCCTCGTGCACTGATGATTTTGAGAAGGGACACAATATCTCTACAGAATTGTAAAGTGTCGCTTGAGGCACCATTCTCGACTGACTAATACCACCGCGGTAAAAAAAAAAAAGCCAATCAGCTCCTCCGAATCAGTCTTGTAACATCCCACTGTTAAAAAATCTCAACTTGACTCTGATAATAACTTCCGATCAGATGTTCGAAACCTCAGTAACTATTCCCACAAGGAGTCCTTTTCAGGACCACACTCACCTGGACGATTTGAACGTTTTAGCGAATGGCAAAACTGTGTTCCAGTTTCCCTCATGTTAGCTCTGACTGTTGTTTCTTTTATTTTACTGAAGGCTAAAGTGGGAATGTTAGATAACTTACTCGATATTGAGGTGGCTTACAGTCTGTTAAAGAGTGGTGATGAGGACTTGGCCAAGGATCCTTTGGACGTCAATTATGAAAAATTAAAAACTGATTTGGAGGTGAAAAAGTTATTTCAAATATCATTAATATATTTTTGAGCAATCACACCGCGCTGTGACCTCTGGGTTCTCTTCTCAGTACTGATGTCACATGTGGTTAAGTTTATTCAAGCTGTTGTTTCTCGTTTTTGCTGCGAAGTTTATCCGGGTTTCACGGATTTCGGCTATCCCCCAAACCAACCCTAACCAGCACCTTGAGCATGATTTTCGTAACTCTTAAACTCAAGGTCTTCAGTTCTTGGCTTTGTGTAGATAAGCAAATTATAATTCCTCACTTGCCATTCATTGTTAGTCCGTATGGGGGGTTAATTTGGGCGATCGATGACGATGAAGTCAGTGCAGCTGCTAACACGTGTAGCGGAGGTCAATATTTTCAGTCCCAATCCCCTAGCAGCTCCGCCAAGAAAAAAGCTCCAAAGAGTTCTCTAAATCGCGGACTTCACAGGCTAATTGTAACGCCAGTTTGAGGAGGGCTGCAAATTAGTCGCTTTACATTAGGTAATTCTGTCATGCAACAAAACTATATTCATTGGATCTGTTTCCCGGGTCGTCCTATTTTAAAGGGTAAATCGAAATGTTTGGCTTTTTGTTATTTTTTTTCAGGTTCTATCTAAAGGTAGTAAGGAGTTTTCTTTGATTGACGAGTACGTCAAAAATACTCATGCTGAGACACACCAACAGTACGAACTTGAAATACTTGAGGTAAGATTATGTTCACTTCGTTTTAATTGCATTTTTCATGCGCTATAGTTAAAAACCGACTATACATATAGTACATTTGTTTGTTGTTTCGTTCATTTAAAGAGCTTGTAATTGTTCGAAACCACCTTTAATGAGTGTCAAAGAAAAGGAGAAGAGACAGGTTAAATTAAACGGCGCTCCTTCACAAAGCGACATGAGGATAATTCAGTTTACGGATTGCTACTGACAAAATTCAACGGGTTGAATTTTTCTAGATATGCAAATCGTGTTAAAAATCTCTCAAGCTTGGCGTTCAAGGAAAAATGTTGAATTTTTTTGAAGTGAAATATAAGGTGGAAAATTTGTTTTTTCCATCAGGTTTTCAAGGTAAATCGTCATGGCGAGAAGGAACGATTCCAGCCTTTCAAGGAACTACACAATCGCCGCTTGTTGTGGCACGGGTCTCGCAACACAAACTACGCTGGCATTTTATCTCAAGGGCTCAGGATCGCTCCACCTGAGGCCCCAGTGGTGAGTTTCTTGTGGGTTCCATTTGCCCCTCAGGTGGCTTAAAATTTGAGAAATGTTGAGATTGATTTTTCAACTGAGATCTTGGTAATAATTTGTCATATTTTCTCGACGTTTTCAGACAGGTTATATGTTTGGGAAAGGCGTTTACTTTGCTGGTATGTCTCAAACTAGTTATCGTGTTATCTGCGTTATGTTTTTTTTTTAAATAGGTTGTTTTGATAGATGCTGGGAGAGTTTGCTTTATCTTTTGGCCTTGACGAATAAGAAAACAGTTATGACTACGAGACAGAATTTCAAAATGTATAGAAAAACCGCAAAATTTTAATTTATGGAGAATTTCTTGTAGCTGCAGGATCTCAATTTGTCTGTTTCTGTTTCTTTTTAGATTGTTTTTCGTGGTCTCGTTTATTTTATTTTTTCTTTTTAATGTAAGCACGTAGCACAGTTAGTTTACGACTGTTTCAAGGTATCACAAAGTAACAAAGTCTTTTCCGGTTCTTTCTTTTGTTGACAGATATGGTGTCCAAGGTAAGTGCATTTGTGAGAAAGAATTATGACTAATTATTTACACATTAATTTCTCGTTAGTTGACGTTTCAAAATCGATCACCGTAAACCACAAATCGCTCAAACTCGAACTAATAGTTTCTGGGGTATGTCGGTTTACCACGCAGCAAGCGGGAATGTATGGATTCCTTCAGAAACTGTCGAGATGATTATGGATTAAAAATTCCAGTTACTACTTGGTCGGAAAAAACAGCAGCTTTATAATTCGTTCTATTTCAAAGCGTTCAGTTGAATAAGATTGATCAAAGAACTGCCATGCCCTTTGGTAAAGACCTAGAGAGGTAGAGACGCATAGACCTGTACGTATCGTTAACTAATTTTAAAACTCTGCCTTCTTTTGAAAGAAAAACTAACTGGTTTTTAAAGCGTGGAAATCAGTTTTTCGGTTCTACGAGGGTGAAACACACTCACCGTGTTTCGATTTCAGCGCATTAAGTCATGCAAGAATCATAGATTGTACTAGAAGGTGCATGGTAGAGTGAAATAAGATATTCGCGAGTTCTACTTTCGGCTCTTGACGATATATTTGTATTGTTGCTTTCTTACTTTCTCCAGTCAGCAAACTACTGTCGAACCACGCCCTCTGACAACATTGGCCTAATGATGCTGTGCGAGGTTGCTTTAGGAAATATGTAAGTTTCCAATAATACTAACGGTATTGAGAAATGTAGAGAAAAGAATCTAAGTATTTTGTTGAAATAAAACATTGTCTTCTCACCCACAGGCACGAATTAACCGGGGCAAGCTACATATCAAAACCTCCCAAAGGGAAGCACAGCGTTAAAGGTTCGTGAAATCCACTGACACATTTGCCCCGAACAGTTTTTGTTCTTCTTTTTTTTTTTTCTTTTTTTTATCACAAACAAGTAGGACATTTTCCGCCTACTAGCTTCATGAATACAAAACGTTTAGCTGCATGCCCATTCGTTGAAACGCAACGTCTACTTTGTCCTCCATTCTTGTTCTTAACGGAGCCTTTATCTTGTGCTTATCGTAAGTTTTGCGTGGAACGGGTGGCATCGTTTCTCGGGCTGCTTGCCAGCCCATAGCAATGGTTGTTTGTTTTTCCGCGCCGGACTCTGTGTGCATTTTTCTTGTTTAGCACCTGTTGCATCTTTTCCCGCGCTTTACTTCACTTACCTCCTTTTAGCTCGAAACTGGTTGTGTCTTTTTCACTGGTTTAGGCTTCTTGCATCTTTTCCTGCGCGTGGCGCCGGTTGCGTCTTTTCCCACGCTGGAAAATACTTGCATCATTTTCCGCGCTCAATGGCGTTCTGTCTTTTCCCGCGCCAGACCCGACTTGCATCCTCTCCCGGGCTTAACGCCGGTTCAGTCTTTCCCGTATTTGACCCAAGTTGCATTCTTTATCGCTCTTTGTCCGGTTCCTTTTTTCCCGCGCTTGAACCAACTTGCATCCTCTTTCGCGGTTGACGCTGGTTCTATTTTTTCCCGCGTTTGAACCAACTTGCATCCTCTTACGCGGTTGACGCCGGCTGCGTCTTTTCCCGCTCTTAACGTTGCATGCATCTTATTCCGCGCTTGACACTGATCGAGAAGTTTGCACCAGTTACAATTGCGGTGGACCAGTCAAGGTTCGACGTTCTCTTTCTTCCGGCCAAATGGGATAATACAGGCTTCTGGTGGAGAAATCGATCCTTCCTAAGTCGTTGAAACGTTCACCGCTGAAAACAGGAACATTTTATTTTTAGGGTGCGGTAAGACTGGACCCGACCCTTCTGCGGACGTCACCTTAGAGGATGGCACGATTGTTCCTGTTGGCAAAGGATGTAACACAAGTTTTAACGACTCCAGCCTCCTCTACAATGAGTATCCTTTTATCTTCAAGGTAAAAATTGGAATTAGAGCTATTTGGATTGAGTGGCGCAAAGCCAAAAAAAAAATAAAAAGAGACTGACCCAGTCGCCTTTGGTTTTCGTTTTGCATGTGATTGATTGAGAGGATGGTACGAGTTATATGGACCAATCACTGAGCGAAATAGGAAAAAACAATGCAATCCACGTTTACATTCTACATTCAATTGCTCATGGTTGCCACAGGTTAGGTAAAAGTCAGGGAAAAATAAAATTTTTGAAGGTCAGGAAAATTCAGGAAATTTCACTTCGAGTCAGAGAAAATTGACACAATTCAAAGAAATCAGGGAAAATTCAAATTTCAAGCAAATTTCAAGCAAATTTCAAGTCTTTTATCATGTCTTGAGCCTCTTCATAAAGAAAGATGGAGAAATTTTTTATTTCTATGATGTCCATGTTAAGATCCTTAACCTGATGTCAGGTATATCGTGTACGATGTTGGTCAAATTAATATCAAATATCTGCTCAAGTTAAACTTCAAGTACAAATACGGATGGTGAATTTAATGTGTTGGTTTACCCTGCCTCCAATATAAGGGAAAAGATTTAAGAAAATACTTAAAATTACTAAACTTGTTTTAAATGAATTAGATGAAGTTAGTTAAGTTACTGTTCAAGTGTTACACTAGAGCTTGTTAGTTATTGGTAAGGTAAGTGTTTCTTAACCCTGCAACTCCCAGAAGTGATCAAACTTTAAGTTCTCCCTATAATATCAATACATTATCCAGCAAACAGGTAATGAGAATACTCTAAGTTATCAGAGAGAGGTTGTTATCTTTATCTAACAACAAATTCTCACAACTTATTTGCAAGGAAATGTGAAGTAGCTCGAGGGGAGAATCAACAATTAGATCTTGGGAACTGAAGAGTTAACCCTTTAACTCCCATTAGTGACCAAGACACAATTTCTCTTTACAATATCAATACAATATCAAGCAGACAAGTGATGAGAATAAAGAAAAATAGAAATTAGGGGAATAGAAGTTGATCCAATACCACATTCTCCAAACCAACATCACTAAAACTGTATGGCAAACAGTAAGGAGAATTACTAATGAGATCTAGTGAGTGAAAGGGTTAACAAATTGCCATCAACGGTCATGCGTTAGGTTTCATTAGAGGGAATTGGGATTCGTATGGTAAATTGTTGCTGTTTTTAGTGTTTTGCTTTTGTCTTTTTTTTATGAAAGACGTCTTTGTCTTGGGCTACCTAGATTTATTTACATAAGACTCCTCGAGAGAGGAGCTAAGAAAGAGGGAACAGGCGTCTTCGCAAAAGCACACGATTCCTCAAAATAAAGGACAAAAAATGCTGCCTCTTGTTATCGTTTGCTGTTGCGTGTTTGAAATTTTTTTTTTTTTTTTCACATCTGACTTCCTTATCTCTGGTTATCTCTGGTTATCGCGAATGGCATCAGCAACTGGGAAACTAGCCCAAATTTCCATCGAAAGCGAAAATTTCCCCAAACTGAAAAACCGTGGAGAACAATGATGCAAATCGGGGTCATTGAAAAAAGAGAGGATCTTAGCGACAGACAGGCGATTGACTATAGAACCGAAAAACTGCAATGACTGAAGCTATGTCCAAAAAGAGAAGACTGAAAATAGCGCGGTTGAAAAAAACATCTGTGGAATGAGTGAAAACCGATCATAAATAAAATGATCAAAGCTGGCAAGCCGTAACACTCAAAGCCCTCCTCGTCATAAAGTTGAAAACAACACACCTTCAGGGTTAGTTATCTTACCCCATTGGTTACTTAGCCCTTTATCTCCTGTGAGTGACCAAGACAGAATTTCTCCTTACAATATTAATACAATATCAAGCAGACAAGTGATGAGAATAAAGAAAAATATCAATTAGGGGATTATAAGATGATCCAATACCAAATTCTCCAAACTAACATCACAAGAATTGTATGGCAGACAGAAAAGAGAATTACTAATGAGATTTTGGGAGTTATGGGCTCATACACATTGGAACAACCCCATCTACGATGATTTGAAGTTCACTTAAACTTCATTCTTTTACTGGTAATGTTATTGAAAAGATGAACTTGATTTCTAAGGGGCTGGTGACTGTTAAAGAAAGCAAGTCATCTGGCTAATAAAAGCGAATGAAACTTCAATAATCCAATCAGATTGAATAAAGCTACATTACACTTCGTGCGGAAACACTGTAATTTAAAACGTGACATGTAAACCTCAAGTTATGCTTGGCCTTGTAAGATTTCCAAATGAAGGTCTTTGCTGGCGTGAATGTCCTATTTGTTCAATATTTAGTGGTTCTGGTTTTCAGCGGCCATTGGAGATTGAATAATAGGACTTATTAGCTTGATTGTTTGAAACAGAAATAACTGAAGACTTGGACCTGAACAGGTGCAAATTAAGGGCAGCCGGTTATTCCGCTCTACATCACATTGCCGGGAAGACGAGCATCAGCAGAGATCTAATTTCTCTCCCTAGTGGTCGCGCAAGTGTCATTAGAGGCATTATCTGTTTCCAGTGTATAACAAATTTCGAAAATATCATCTTTACGCGTCGATTTCTCAAGATGGTTCCGATTAGTTCCCATGCCCCCTGCAACAGAAACAGTAAGGACCAATCGGATTTTAATCCATTTTCTTACGATGTCAATCTTCATTTAATAGTGAAATTCAAGATCAGCTGACGATTTGAGACTTCTACCCCGGCGAGAATTTTCTGGCTCAGTCCTCTATCAAGACAGCAAGGGGTGATCATGTGTTCTTTTTATTTCAACGACGCGCCAACCTGCGGGCAATCAGAGCATGACAGGAAAGGTTGACTGTTCCCCCGATCTCTTCCGCATGCTTCTTTATTTTCTTCCCCAAATGCTCCTGGGTTAATTAATGGCTTGTTTTGTTTTGTTTGTGTTTGTGGGTTTTTGGCCAGTCCGCGCTTCGACAATTTTCTTCAGGTTCTTCTGTTTTCGTAACTAACACTCCAAATTTAAATTTGACTTAAGAAGACGTGCCAATGGTCATGCCACTATAAATTTATTTCATCATCTAAAAACCATTGCTTAAACAGGAAGCTAAAAAGTAAATGAATTGGTTCTTAGTTTTTAAAGACAGCCCGTGACAATACATGTTTTCTTTGCAAAGTAGTATTGCTCTATACTTTTAGTATCTTTAGGCACTTCAAAAATTCTTGAAGCCGCCGAATTTATCTAGTTAATAAAATTATTTCTTAAAAACATTCTTGTTTGGAGATGTTTATAAAAAAAAGTTTGGATAATGTTGTTTTAGGCCGACCAAACTAACCAGCGGGAGCTCAAAGCACTCACATTTTTTGTTGTAAATTATTAGTGGCGTTGGAAACTGATGCTCTGATTAGTTGTTGTCATGATTTAAGCAACTGGAGTGAGTAAAGCATGTTTTGTGATTTAGTGTGATTTTATGGCAGGAAAAAAAATTCTTATTATTACTGTTATCTTGAAAAGAGCTGACGCCAGTTAAATTAATCATGTAGATAGACTTCGTGTATATATATATATATATATGCCATTAAAGATTCTCCGATGAAAGGTTTTACAGCACTTACGAGAAAATAGAACAGGTCTTTTTTGACTTTGTGAGAATCATTATAATTACAACTATATTCCTTGTCAAAGGGATTTTAATTGGTAAGATATGAATCAATGTAATTAAATTCATCAATATTCGTTTCGGCTCCGTCGGTTAACGAGGGAAAGTTGAATACAGTTAACAGCTGTGTAGAAATCAGATAAAGACAACAAGTATTTAAAATTTCGCTTTTAAAACATCGACGTTCAAACAGTACGTTCTGAAAATCTAGATCTGTTAAACGCATAACTTTGCTATTTTAAGAAACTCCACTGATACAAATAACTTTGATTATATTTATTCAAATTTCCTCCAAATAATCGAATTTACATTTTCATCCAAGCGATTTTTTTACTTTGCTTACAACTAATGCCTTGTTCAAAGGCCTTTTAAAAAGCCTCTCTCTCAGTTTCGGTAGCCTTTATTTCAATGTGATCCACAAAGATCTGATTTCCATGAATCCTATTTGTATTTGTGGCGTGAAAAATGAATAAATAAAGTGCTTCAAAGATAATAGATCTCTCTGTGTAGCCATTTCCACCCTTTTTCTTTACTAATTCATCTGCCACTTCAGGTGGCAATCCCTTCTTAACACACTTTGTTTACTCTTCGTGTCGTAAAACATTTGAGCCCAACACGTGTTTGTCTTGCACTTGACAGGCCAGCCCGAAAATGAATTGACCTGTAGCAAGTTTTCTCAGATCGCTAAGAGAATTCCGCGCCGAAATTCACTTAATTCTAATACCAAAACTATTTACTTTTTTAGTACTCGTCAAATATTTATTCAATGAGAGCGGTTAGATGGAAATGGGAGGGGGTTAGGATTAGTTATGGGCCGCACAAGTGAAACCCAAGCAATCTTTTTTAATCACAAATCACTGTTCCTGACACTGTCAATAGAGGCTCGTCTACCCACATTTACCGTGTCAACAACCACAGGATTTTAAGGTGGATTCGTTACCTCGACTTGGAATTTGAGAGCCGTGACAAATCATTCTAGGAATCCAAGTATTTATTTCATTTTAGAGGTGCTTGTTTGCTTTTTTATATTTCTTGACATTTGTGTTGAGTTTTCACTTACGCTCACCGCCTTTGCAATCGAACAATTAAAAGCATTCTGGGTTCGCATCTTCCACTTCACAACTTTAGCAAAACAATTATGCACTAAAATAACTTTTGTCATTTAAATGTCTCTGATCAAAAACAGGGCTTAGGAAAAGAAAACAATTATATGCTATAGAGTGAAATTAGTATTTACTTTTCTGTTTACAAAAGGCAAACACTCTTTCATGTTCTTTACCATTAAGCCTCGGTATGTACACAAATGTTTTTCTTTTTGACGTCAGTACGTATGAAAAAGACGAGAAATCTTTTGTGGCATTTATTTCTTGGCTTAGTTAGAGATAACTTAAGCTTAATCACGCAAAGAATTTGCTCTTGTGCAGGTTTTTTAGTGTTAAGAATCGGTTGGCGATCAATGCGAAACCTGCTATAAAATTTTCTTTATCAGATAAACCTGGAGAATTTACGCTTATCGACCGCTAGGTATCCTGGGAGTCGCTTCCACATGGCACTTTTCAACATGGCGGATCAGTACAGTACAGGCGATAGCGGAGTAGATTTGAGCACAAGCGACTCGAAAAAAAGGCAACTAGATGGCGCTGGAGAAGGTAGACCGTCTTTTAAAAGGTCAAACCTTGGAGGTACGTGTCAGTGTATCTTTGCTCGGCAGTGTGTGGAGATTCGTACTTTTTTTGACGGCTTTGTTGTGATGCTTTTGTGCGTGGTAACGCTCATATGTTTGCGCCGTAGCATCTGTCATTTATCAGGCGAGCTTTGCGAACCAGGGAAATAAAAGCGAATGGCCATGTGAATAGTCGCGACTTTGTAAAATGCAATGAGCGCTAGGAATGTTAAAAAATGGGGAAAAAATTGAGAATTTATACTCGTAAAATTGGTCTGTTTTTCTCGCGGCTACGGGTGGGGAGATATAAACAATCCTTCAGAGCGGAGTTTACATCGTTCAAACTGGGTGCATTTTATTTCGAAGGTGCAATCAGCTATGTTTGTTTCGGATATATTAAGCTGAACGGCTACGGAATTGGAAATTTAAGTCAGCTTCGCTTTTGTCGTCAGATGTTCGCAGAAATTCAGCTTTGTAATTATGCGATTTGACCGCAGTTGTAAGCAACTGACTCTTTCATATATAACTTTATAATAACACCGGCCGATCAATAATTGATTTACCAAGGCGGTCGGCGAAATATAAAGCTATGTCTCTTTTTTATGCCTGGTTGTATAATAGAATATCTAAGTGGACATTTATATGTTGATATTTTAAAGAAGGAAGTAGTTCCATGTCGCCACGCGTATTCGAGTTTTTTTTTTTTTTTTGAGAAAATGTCACATTTGTATTCATGGTTTTGCATTTTTGAAAACCGCAACACATTTTCCATGGTACCTTCAAAATTATGCCAGGAGATGACATTTTTCAGCGGTTAAAATGATTAAAGCGAAACAACAGAAGAATATACGAGCATGCATGTACATGTTTCATGCTTTGGAGACTAGATTACGGCGTTGTCCAACCTCATCTGGTTATGATCGCAATCTTTTTTCCCCTAATCTTCTTGATTTTTGATTTCTAATCGAGTTCATTTCAGACGCTGAAAGCAAAATCTTTTGTTCATTCGAATATTAAATTAAGGACCAAATATAACCGGTGTTTTTGTCAAGAATATAAATAATAAGATTGTTTTGCTGTGGAGATAGGAAACAGGTCGATCTTGTAACTTTCATTCGCTCGAAACTCGCTGTCTAGTGTAATTGTAAATGTTCATGGTGATGAAATAACGTTTCTTTTGTAATTTGATCCCTGTGAAATGGAATGAACAATGTTTTATCAAACAAAAAAAGCGAAACAATTCAATGCATGCAGTGAATTACTTGACACTTGCTAAGAATTTTAATGCGGAGTCGATCATGCAAAAAGTTTGAAAGTCTGGAGGTAATTTCCTTCGAAAAACCGCGACTTTTCTGCCAGAAAGCTAGTTTGCAACCATTCATAAGGGAACAGTAATTCGGGCATTGTTGTAAATTAGACGAATATTTTCTTCTTCTGTTAATCATGAAACACAGGTGGTCATTATGAAAAGCTCTTTTTGTCTGCGGCTGTCATTTGCTTGTGTTTAGTCGTGTGGTACTCAACCAGAGGTCAAGCATTTCATTTGGCCATCACCCGGTGCTCATCGTGCAACTGACCGTCGTGTGTGTTGACATTTTTTACATGAATTTCCCTTCTCCTTAACTGCAACGATGTATCACATGGGCTGGAGTTTGAAAGGTGAATATTGCATTAGGATTTTTATATTCTTTTGATTGAGATCATTGTTAATTATCTATTGAAGACAGAAAAAAATGCTGTGGCATTCACCCACTGTTTTGCCGTTCTGCTGACTGAGTGGAATGAACAAGATTTTGTGATCAATAGATCTGAGTTGATCCCCTGTTCTTTAAATCAAGAGGGTTTAATTTCCAATAGGCTTGCTTTTTGTCATAATCATGTTCAGATCTTTTGGTGAGCACTCACAAAATGCCTTGACTTACAATAAGTGCCACATAAGTGCCTTTTCAGACAGTTAACTTTCTACGTTCCTTCATCTTTAAAAATCAGTAATCAATAATTCCAACACTTACAACTATTAATTTTATTTAGTTTTTGCTTTCTTCTTAAGTTTGGTGGTTTCTTGAGAAATCCTTATTTCATTTTAGCATCAGTCTAGCACTGAATCATCAAGGTAATGACAATTTTGTTGAGGCAAATTCCATTGCAGTTTCGAATTTATTTACTAGTGAAGACAGATTCACCAATGTGTCTCTCTATTCAGCCCTGTTGATTCACAATATTTCAGACAATGACAATTGTTCCACTCCTGGCTCTATAGCCATGTGATATTAATTTTGTTTTCATTTTGACCCTTCGAAGCATTGCGGCACCAGAAAACACCTTGATTAAATAATGTGCAAGTTTCAAAGAGGTGCCAGTGATAACATTTTACCTGTGACTTCAAACTTCCCCCTCTGCCCATCTAATTCTTTTGTTTGATAACTTAATTACAAACTGCACTAAAACTGTTTGTGGCTTTTGATACAGCTATATATTTTCTATTCTGGCTGAAATTCCCAGTAGAAATTCCCAGTATTTTTTTTTCTCTATTAGTGTGACCTGCCAGCTTGCAAAATGACAACATGCTGGGAGCATTTCGTGCATTTTTTTTTGCATGTAAGACAGAAGAAAGTAGATCGGTTTCATCATCATAATATTTGTTCTCCTTGATACATTCCAACTTGATTTGAGCAATTATTGCCATTTTAATGTTTGTGCAAATTTTTTGTGCTTCAAGAAACAATGAGCTCAAATATTTGTTGAGTGACCTTTGATGCCTGAAATATATTTAGCTTAACACGGTGTATTGTTGTGGTAGGTAATATTTGTATTCCAGTGCCTAGAATCAAACATTTAACTTAAATTTGGTGTTTGCATTGTTTTTTTTTTTTATCTTGGTTTGCGTGTGATGTTTTGCAACGAATGTTTCCACCTTGAATAGTGCTGTGTATTCCCAAGCTGCAAGCCGGTGCACATTCTGGAAACTTCTTGGGGTCTTATCTGACATCATTGCCCTTTGTAGCGGAAATTGAGAACATTGTTGCATTAAATTTTGGTTGAATTTAATCTGCTTTGTGGGCACATATGTCAACTTATTCAGTTTCTCTAACTACAAGCTTTAAAGAAAATTTTTGGTGTCATCTCTGGAAATTTGACTTTATTGTTTCTGATGGAATGGTTGTTTTGTCATCAGCATTTCTATACTTTGACATGGAGGTTTGATAGTAGAATTTAATTATGCTGTGGATCCATTTTAACAGGGATAGGTTTCCTTTGACATCAATTGAACTTATACTGTACATCTAGGAATGACTTCCTCGATAGAGATTGATAGCTGTGTTAATTTTATAATCAAGTAAAATTTGAAGGAAGATAAAAATTAACTGATAGATGGAAGGTTGTGTTCTTGACTCAATTGAATTGCTCTCAGCTATTTACTTCCTGTCTAAAACGTGATAATAGTTGTATTTTGTCTACTCTCTGCTAGGAATAGAATTATCCTAATGCACAGTGATATTTGTTCTCTTTTATGGAAATATATGTCCTTGTACATAATTTCTTTGTCTTATTGTATAAATGGTTAAAAAATTTTTTTTAAAAGAATGTGTTTTAACTTTAATCTTGCAAATTCTAATGACGAATTTTCTTTTTCATTGAATTAAATTTCCTTAAAAATGAGTTTTTAAGACTTAGCATCCGACAAGATTGTAGCCCTCTGTTATGAGTTTCTTTCATATTCTTATCATATGCTTGCTTGATACTGCGTATATGTGTGTGGAGAAGTGACATGGTGAATCGCTTCTAGTAGCTTAAGAATGATATGCTGTGACTGCCGTTTGAAGTGTTTTTTGTTATATATTACACTGTTATCTTTGTCGGTGTCATCAATCCTATCATTAATACCCTTAGGTTTTGATTTGTGTTTTTTTCTTCTTCTTGGACTAGAATTACCTTCATCAACTGGAATGGAAATTTAATTTAATTTTTTTTTTTTTTTTTCACAGCTGCCAAAACACCTATCATAAAAATTCTCATTCCAAACTATGCAGCTGGTTCAATTATTGGTAAAGGAGGGGCCAACATTGCTGAAGTTCAACAGCAAACAGGAGCTAGAATCAAACTGTCACCCAACAATGATTACTACCCTGGAACACAGGAGAGAGTTGGTCTCATAATGGGGGAAGTGGAAACAATTAACAAAATGTTAAATTTTGTTATTGAAAAGATCAGGCAAGAGCCGCCAGCAATGAAACTAAATCCAGCCATGACATACGACAAGGAGCGTGCCAAGCAGATGAAAATTGTGATACCCAACTCTACGGCAGGACTTATTATTGGTAAGAGTGGTGCAACTATCAAATACATAAGTGATCAAACTGGTGCTAGGATACAAGTAAGTCAGAAAAATGCCGACTCGGTGCCTGGCGAGAGAGTTATCGGTGTCTCTGGAACTCTAGAGCAAGTGCAGGCGGCTTGCACAGTTATAGCAGCAAAAGTACAAGAGGACCCTGAACATGCATTGAACAACAACATTTTCTACTCTAGTCTTTCATCCAACAATGCTCACAAACTCTCAAATGGAAATGCTGCTGGTTTTAATGCCTTTGGTGGTGGGGGCCTTTCAGGTTCTGGGTTGGGTGGACTGGGGTTTGCCAACTCAGGGGGTACAGGTAATAGTGCTGCAGCTAATAGCATATTAGCCCATGCAGCTTTACTAAGTGGGGGTGGGCTGGGAGCAAATAACCCTCTCCTCAACGCGATGGGAAATCTGGGACCTCTGGGACTATCAACATCTGGTTCACAGATACAATCAACCGCAACCGTGGAGCTGACTGTGCCAGATGAGCTGATCGGTGCAGTCCTCGGTAAACAGGGCAAAACTATCAATGAAATCATGCAATATAGTGGAGCCAAGATACAGGTATCGCAAAAAGGAGAATTCATTCCTGGCACTAACAATAGGAAAGTTGTTATTACTGGTGATTTCAATTGCGCACAGACTGCTCATTTTTTGATCACGCAACGACTCCAACAAGTAGAAGCAGAGAGGCTTTTAGGACAGCATTCATAACCGCCATGCAGTCACAGAATTTATCCTGCCCTCTGCATCTCTAGCCCTACACACACACACACACATACACACACACAAACACACATACTGACTGGTTTTAATTAATAGTTTCGAAATGTGGGCTCTTATTGTGACATGGTGTTTGTGCTGGTGACATCTTTAAATGTTATTATTATTGTAATTATTATTATTATTATTATTATTATTTTTATTATTATCATTATCATTTTAATAATAATGTAACAGCAACATATACATGTATGCAATTTCAAGCTGGTCCATGGAGAAACAATTAAAAAACATCATTCACCACCATGGAAAATCAATTGTTTTTTTTTCATTGGTGTGGAGTACATAAATTTTAATCCAATTAATGGAACCTAAAACACATGTTTCATAATTTTCTGTGTGATTTTTCATTACATCAGCGATTAGCCACTTTTCTTAAGAGAACTTCCATTATTTGTTTACAAATGCACTGTACGGTACATTATAATTTCATTTTGGGTGAAATTCACATTTATTCATTTATGCCACACCATATTTTGTGTTGTGAAATTTGAAGCTTATCCACCACTGGAAAAAAGGCTCTGGTGGCTCGGTCAGGCTAAACTTTGTACAGAACTGAATAATGATAGATAATTTATCATTATTTAAAACTTAGGTTAGTGGATTAATAATTATTATTATTATTATTATTGAATATCTTCTGTAACTTATACAGTATTAATTGCTCATTTCCAAATTTATGCTATTCTCATCAGTTTAAATAGAGATATTCACAGAGAAGTGAAAGTCCTAAACTAGTATTATTAGATGTAAAAAAAAAAATTAGTGAAAAGTCCTTCAGTTGAGTTCTCAGGAGGTCACACACTGGCTTTGTTAGAGGCCAATCTGTAATTAGTGATTTTTTAAGTTAGGTATTGAATTATTTATCTGCCAGTCAGTACAGATTGAATCTTGGCTTGCAGGAGACATTTTGAAATTGTGAGCCTTTTATTGCCCTTGAGGTGAAATTAAGAAAAGTAAATGGTATTTAAACCAATTTTAAAATGAAAGGTAGGTTTTATCATGATAATTTCATGCTTGGTTACATGTAGCAGGTACAAATTCTCAATTTCTTCGTCATTTTGGAAGGTAGATACTTGAGTCACAACTAAGACCTCATCTGCTGGTATCCCTTGTTCATTGAAAATCTTTAATTGAAATTTTACTAATTTGTTGAAAAAAGAATGTAAACTTTCAAAGCGAAGCAACTGAAAACACTGCTACTATTGTTGTAAGCTAATATGGAACAGTTGCCAAGTCAGCAATAGTTTAAAATGAAGCACCTAAACATGTGTGCTGTCAATTTGTTTAAGGCCCTTTTTTCCCTTCAACTCTAGTAATTGCATTATAACAGCATTTTCTGGATCTCTTCACTGGAAAATACTTTTGAAGAGAGGTTTCTGATACTTGATGTAGGCAGAAGGCAAGTCTGGAGAATAATCTGTGTCATTGAAGAAAGGCAGATACGTGTGGATGTGGTCATAGTTGAAAATGATATTGGGTACTGCAGCTTCACAATTAGGCAAGGTGGTACATTTTAAGTACTTTAGAATCCAAATTGAAGCTCTACACTTAATTTGTCATTAATATGAATGAAAGAGAGCTATATCATGGTACAGAATTACATGTAAGGTTACTTTTCTATGTAGCCAGCCTTTGGGTTCCTTGGAAGATTTCACAATAGAGACTTCACCAGCAAGTTTTAGCTGCACAACCTTTGTGTATTTTATTATTTTAATGACAGCAAGCCAACATATAGTTACTCATTGATGACTAGTGTTGGATGGTTGGGATCAGTCTTTTTGTGCAGTATGCTTTTGTTGAATCAAAGAACAATCTAACGCTAAAAAGAACTCATCTGGTAATTCAGCCACTTAACACCACTGATAAATGGCCATCGATTCATCTGTAGAGATGCAAAAACATTTAATTCTACTCTGGAGCCCAGTGGCAGCCCACAGCACAAGCTTATCACAGCTGGGAGTATTGCTTCTCCCATCCATTCGGTTTCCCAAGTGGTTTGTCCACACCCATTTTACTTCCCCAGAGACGCTATGCAACTCCCCAGCTAAAGCTTTAACAGGGAATTCTTGGCCAAGAGCAAAGGCCACTCCTCACTATGCTTTCAGACAAGAAATAGCTAGCTTAAATTAAACCTTTACTGCTGTGAGGAAGTGGAAGTCAGTTTTTGCACAGTGGCTGTACTGATGAAATCTAGAAAGGATGTATGTTAGTTTTTAATCCCTCTGGCTTACTTTGGAACCTTTTTTTTTTTAACTTGAATGATTATTGTTATTAATTTAAAGATTGCAGTACCTATACAATACCATAAGATTACTAGCACATATTAAAAATTAAGATTTGTTTATTTTTTGGACCCAACTAAAGCTTCTGTACTGCAAGGAAAAAAAAGAGGTCTTTGTGGGTTTGTGCTTTCTTTTGCAATTGAAGAGTGGTGAAAAAGAGCCTCATCTGACTTGTGTCATCCATAACTCTCCTTGTTTTATAAGCATACACAACTGAGGAAATTGAGACGGACTCCACCTGTTGATTGGACCACTTACAGATATATTTTTCTCCCTAATTATATCTTTGTCTCTGCAACTGTAGTGGAGGCATTTGTCTTAGCATGGAACTTGATATAATGGACAACCCATGACTGACCCTTGGCATTCTTGCAGTCAGATGTTTTACCTCTTACTTCAAAAATTTTTAGTCAAGTATCTTTTTTTTTTTTTTTAATTCTTTCTGACTTCAATATTTCATAGGGGTGTGCATGAACCATTTTCCTCATGACAAGTAGTTTTGCAAAGTTTTAACTTCAACTTCTATTCAGTTTTTTGCCTGTGTCATTATTTCAAACTGACTTTTTTTTTTATCAGAAGCCCAAATTGACTGCATGTGTTCATAGTCTTTTGATTTATTACTGTACTACTTCTATTTTGCTCATCACTTGGAGTTCATCATGTAGTCTGACTGCCCAGGCCCCTGAAATGGTTGCTGGTGACTTTCACAGAGTTTACCGGTAGTAGACTGAGTAGAAATCCATCATCAGAGAAAGTCTGATTAGGATTTCTGCCTCACCCTATTGGTTATTCTCCCTGCTGTCTGCCATACAATTCTTCTGTTTGGAGATTTTGGTATTGGATCAACTAATAATCCTCTAATTGATATTTTCTTAATTCTCATCACTTGTTGGTGTGAAGTTGTATTGACATTGTAAGGAGAAGTTGTGTCCTGGTCTCAGATAACATTACCCTCACTTAGACAATCAGACAACATGATGAACTCACTTGGGTTCTAACAATTTACCGTTAATATTTTGAGTCAATTATTAGTTTAGTTAACCCTTTCACTCTCAAGATCTCATTAGTAATTCTCCTTACTGTCTGCCAAACGATTCTCATTATGTTAGTTTGAAGAATTTGGTATTGGATCAATTAGTAATCCCCCAATTGATATTTTTCTTTATTCTCTCATCACTCATCTGCTTGATATTGTATGGATTTAGTAAGGAGAAATTTTGTCTTGGTCACTCATAGGAGTTAAGGGTTAACTTTTGTCTCATATTGGTTCGTTGTGTTTATCAGCATCCATGGATTCACTATGTAACAAGAGAACACTGATTTGAAGACCTGCTGGTACACTTATCACATGTTACATGTCTCTTTCCTGAACACTGTGACTTGCTTGTATAATTCCCCTTATCATATTGTGGGTACATTTAACATCACAGCTTGTATCGCTCCACTTAATAAACTGCTGATACATCCATTGTCTGTCTCAGTTCATTCTCGACATCTTCATCTCTGCATTCATTGAATTCAATATTTAACTGGGTCAGTTTCGTCTCTTAAGGTATAACTCACATGTTAATCACCAAATCCTTTTAACCGTTGCCAAGTTAAGACCAAGTTTATTTCTTAGTGTTTGACTGAGAGCTCTTTTCTTTGCCTTTATCTTCAACACGGTTAGAGTCACTACTTCTCTTGTTTGTCATTGTCTTAGCATCACGACAATTAATGTTCCTAATGGTTTACTCTTTCCTCTTCAAAAGGTTTTTTAAATGTACAGTACATGGTCTTTTGGGTGTTTCAAATATGTGTTTACATGAATTGAATTTCCTTGCAAGGTAGGTTTTTCTGATATTTTGAATGGTCTTTTTGAATTGAATAAAGAGGATGTACAAATCATGTAGTTCACTTTTCTTCGCAATCTCCTAAAAAAGAGAATCCAGTTTGAATTCAGAGAAACTTTTCCAATTGCCAAATGGTAGTCATACACCTTTGGCACTGTTACAAAACGCCTAACAACCCTTCAACCTCTAACTGTGATTGGCATCTAATTTCTCACATCATCACCCTTGAATCACACATTAAGGTTGTGAGAATAAATGAAATGATCAGCAACTAAAGAAGCTCTTGATTGTTTAATAAGGTCTCAATGTCAGCACCATGGGAAGTGTATAGAAAACAGTGTGGACAGTATGCATACTGATGTTGGCAAGTAAAGGGTGATAAGTACTGAGTAAATTTTACCCATGTCTTCAAGGCCACAGAGTTTGGAAATTGGACTACACTAATTTGTAAACAATTTGTTCTTTCTTTGCTTCTCATCCATGTACCTCCTCCTCCTCTTTCTTTAAACTAAAACTCAAATAACCATGGGCCTCTTAAATGGTTGGGGTAATTGCCATTCTGTCATACTCTCGTAGTAAATGTAGCCCTTGTGGCTTCAACATGATTGAAGACTAAGGAATTTTCGAATAAAAATGCAGCTTACAGGGTTAATTTCCATGGGTATACAAAACCATTAATCACACAGCCATCATAACAAGAGGTCCAAGAAGTCGATCTGAAGTAGAATTAGGAAACTAGTAGAGTAAGGACGAAATTTTTCTTCCTTTTACCTTCCTTTTTCTTAGCCCTTTGCATGCTAATATTAGTATACATATCCACCATACTATTCTCTTTAAATATCTTAAGTCGCAGACAAAGGGACTTGATTTAAAAATGAAGAGTTTAAACTGGTAATCACTTCCTTTTCTTGTGTGTTCATAATAATCAGGGTAATAATATGATAAGACATAAGAAGCTAGTCACAAGGGTCAGAAGGTTGAAAATTCCAGAGAGAATATTTTTATGGCTCTGTCTCATCCATGGTCACTTTGAGTTTATCTTGAAGCTCTTAACACCCTAACAACAATATGCATTTTCTCTGTATGGTTCTTTGCACCAGATGAGGAGAATTTGCTGAAAAATCAAGAGCTTTTGTTAGTGATCATTTCCTTCACTTTGGTTGACCTTCATATTTGATGCAGAGGTGATTTTGAGAGGAAAAATAAGACAAGAGTCACTTTAAGGACAACATCAGACACAAGATTGATAGTTTGAATGAACTTGCTTTTTATTATGCATATCCCACTCTAAAGTTACAATGTTAGGTAGGTAAAACTTTAGCAGGCAAAGTAAACTGCAGCGGTGGTGCCAACTGCCTGTTTTCCGCAAGGTCTAATGAAGATCATTTCACTGACTAAGCAAACAGTTAATAATGAACAACCAGATACTGTTTAAATGCGTTATCTCTATCACTCAGCAGACATGGCTAACAGTGACTAAGTAATCAGAACCCATCCCTCTTTAACTAGATCTTGACTTCCAGAGTCAGCTATCTCATGTCTGAAAATCTAACTGGAGTGTTCCGTTGTTTTTGAAATCTCAACAGCCTTGTTAAGCAGGTTATAATACTGAACGACTATTAACCACAAAACAAAACAAACTCACAATGAAACAGTACAAACAAAACTAATGAACAAAATTATTATCTTAGCAAACTTCTACAATGTCAAAGTGGATAATATTTTGCACCCAAACTCTCATGCAAATTTTAAATGATTTAATGGCCAACAAATTAGATGAAGCCTTCATTCTAAAACCTGACCAGTAATCTTGTAAGAAATCATTTCACTCTTGTTTAAACAGCAATATTTCTGCTATGATAACAATGTAACTTTTGAAAGACAGATAGCAACTCTTGTCAAGAATTTCCAGAACAGAAGAGATCAATCAACTTCTTCCATCTTTGAAGGATCATCACCATCCTCTCCCTCAAGAGGGGGCATATCTTCACCAGTTCCCTCAGCTGCCACTTCTTCACCCGCTGTGGAATGAATAAACAATTCTGATTAGTTCTGGGCCTCTACTAACCCTTATGGAAACCCCTGGCTGGGCCTAAGAAAAACATCCAAAACTCTCACAAAACATTATCTCTGCATACCCTCCATTTCTTCATCAATTCCAAGACCCAAACTAATCATCCTGTAAATGCGGCCAGCATGAACCTGAGGGTCATCCAGCGTGAAGCCAGAGGACAGAAGAGAGGTCTCATACAGCAGCATGACAAGATCTTTCACAGACTTGTCATTTTTGTCTGTCTCCACCTTCTGCCTGAGGGTCTCAACAATGGAGTGGTCAGGATTCAACTCCAAGTGTTTCTTGGCTGCCATGTATCCTAGAGTGCTGTTATCACGCAAAGCCTGAGCCTTCATGATTCTCTCCATGTTGGCAGTCCAGCCGAACTGACTAGTCACAATACAGCAGGGAGACGACACCAGACGTGCAGACACTACCACTTTCTCCACTTTTTTGTCCAAGATCTCCTTCACAGTCTGAAAAAAGACACAATATTTAACATCCCAAGAATGACATTGGATTTAGTTCCCCATAAATTTGGCATTTGATCTAGGATTAGAAAATTACCAAAAAGAGACCAATACAACTCAGAAAAACAATTCATCCCTTGCATTCTCATTGGGTATATCACAGGCCAGACAATTTCAAGTCTGTCTTCAAGTCTGGGTCACTGAAACTTTTAACACGCGTCTCTTCAAGATAACATTTTTTAATGATAATTTTACTGAAATTATTTTCAATAAGTGAAACCAACAAGGCCCTCAACTCAATGCCACATCAGAAATGCTACGATTTTTAAAAGCACCTCACTATATCACCATACAAATAGTATAGGATATTGAGAATTCCTCCAACAGTTTTAAAATCAAGTTTGATGTGAAACCTGGGAAACAGTTAATGCGAGAAAAAATTTAAGAAACATTATTTTAACAAGGACAAAAAGTTCCTATCTTTTTCTCAATTTCTCACAGGTAGGTCACAAAGCACAGTTGAAAACACCAACCACTTTTCTTAAAAACAATTTTAGCAAACACTCTTGTTTCAATTCACAAAAAGTTTATCACTAAACAGTACCTTGCAAAGAGGCTCAAATTTGGCTTTCTTCTCTTCCCATTTCTTCTTGTCATCCTCATCCTCTGGTAACTCAAGGCCTTCCTTGGTGACACTGACTAGTTTCTTTCCATCGTATTCCTTCAGCTGCTGCACGGCGTACTCATCAATTGGTTCTGTCATGTACAACACCTCGAATCCACGGCTCTTGACCCTCTCCACAAAAGCCGAGTGGGCAACTTGGTCCTTGCTCTCACCAGTTATGTAGTAGATGTCTTTCTGATTATCCTTCATTCTTGTGACGTAATCCTTGAGCGATGTCATCTCATCTCCAGCAGCAGAAGAGTGATACCTAAGAAGGTCTGCAAGTTTGGAACGGTTAACGCTGTCTTCATGGATGCCAAGCTTAATGTTCTTGCCAAACTGCTCGTAGAATTTCTTGTAGTTGTCCTTGTCTTCCGTCACTTCAGCAAACAGCTCCAAACACTTCTTGACGATGTTTTTCCTGATCACCTTCAAGATCTTGTTCTGCTGCAGCATCTCACGAGAAATGTTAAGCGGCAAATCTTCAGAATCCACGACACCCTTAATGAAGTTCAAATACTCTGGGATAAGATCCTCACAATTGTCCATAATAAATACACGACGCACGTAAAGCTTGATGTTGTTGCGCTTTTTCCTGTTCTCAAATAAATCGAAAGGTGCCCGCCTCGGAAGAAACAGAAGGGCCCTGAATTCCAATTGTCCCTCAACTGAAAAATGCTTGACCGCCATATGCTCTTCCCAGTCATTTGTCAAACTTTTGTAGAACTCTGCATATTCCTCTGGTGTAATTTCATCAGTGTTCCTCATCCACAATGGCTTGGTCTTGTTGAGTTCCTCAAGCTCAGTGTACTTCTCCTTGATCTTCTTCTTCTTCTTTTCACCTTTTTTCTCTTCTTCTTCTTCATCCAAGTCTTCTACCTTGGGCTTATCATCTTCCTCATCTTCCTTCTTTTCACCATCTTCACTCTCTTTCTTTTCATCATCCTCCTCATCTTCATCATCACTGACCTCCTTCTCACGCTCTTTTTGCACCTAGGGCAAATGAGATAGACAAGATGACTTTTAAAACCTTGTCTTTTAATCCTACCTGTATTTGCCATTACTGCCAAAATTTCCTTTCATAAAACAACCAAGAGACTATTGCTTCCTCCTCATAGTTTCAAAATACAACCATCAAGTTCAAATTTAACATCCACACAAACTGGTAACTCAAAAGTCAAGCTCTTCAATTATTTATTTTTATTACAATGCAGATTGATTTCAAATTTGACTTAACAGCAGACACTTCATTTGCCAGTCAACTCTTACACCCAGGTTATCATCTGCAACCACATTTGCCACACTCTTTCCCTATATATTTCCTTTAGTACTGACAAGAAGAATCTAATTGACCATCAAAGCTTCCAAGGTTAGGAACCATTTCTTTCATTCTCACAATCTTAGTGAATGATTCAGCAGTATTACTGTTAAGAGAAATCTTGAAATTTATCTTGTTTTTTCACAGTTTTCTCAAGTTTCAGGCTCGCATGTTCGAGAAAAATATTACCTGTAGAGAAATGGGGTATCCAATAAACTGACTGTGCTTCTTCACAATCTCCTTAATGCGCTTCTCTTCCAAGTACTCCATCTGGTCATCCTTGAGATGAAGAATCACTTTGGTTCCACGGGGTATCACTTCCTCTGACACACGGCGCACAGTGAAGGAACCACCAGCAGAAGATTCCCAGATGTATTGTTCATCATCATTGTGTTTGGTGTACACTTCTACCTTATCTGCAACCAGATAGGCAGAATAGAAACCAACACCAAACTGACCAATCATGGAAATGTCAGCACCAGCCTAATGGAGAAGAAAAAAAATTATTACACAGGAGATTTAACTACGTTGTCATTGTCAAATTCAGAAAAAACAAAGTATTCTCTGAAAGTTAACCATGCTGTCACAAAACAAAACCCAAAATGTAATATAATTTCACAAATCTGCCAGCGACTCCAACAAAACTGAACATATCAAATTTAGAAATAATCGAACAAATTATAGCGATCAAATTTTTAACAAAGAAACAAGTTTTTTAAATTTGATTTTCTAGGGGAAGCGGCCATGTGTTTACCTGCAGAGCCTCCATGAAAGCTTTCGTTCCACTCTTAGCGATGGTTCCCAAGTTGTTAACGAGATCTGCCTTGGTCATACCGATTCCAGTATCGTGAATTGTCAGGGTGTTGTCATCTTTATTCGGAACAATCTCGATCTTCAACTCCTTACAGCTCTCCAAACTCGATGGTTCAGTTAAACTTTTGTATCGAATCTTGTCGAGGGCCTAGAACACAAGACACATAAGCATTTAGTTTATTTACCTCAACAATTGACAATCGACAATAATGACGAGGAGAAATGTTAAGTGAAGAACTTTTGCGGCTCGAAGAACTCGCCAGAAAACGACCACGTGATCTAAACGACGCCATGTGCTCAAAATGGTTTCGCTTTCGTTATACTCTAAGACAAAATGGAACTTTAAATCCATCGATTATTGAGTGACACTGGATTTTAAATCGCTAGTTACAAATGAAAAGATTCTAGAGGAAGATTTATCACATAGACCGGTTAAGGAAAAAGTAAACTGGCCAAACGATTATTTGTTTCACTTCCTATTACTTCCTCCCAGCAAATTTTTCATGTCCAAGAACTGATCGGCAAGACTCGATCGCTTCAGAAATCTGTATCATTTAGTCTTTGTACAGTTTCGTACGTGAGATTGGTTGCATAACATAAAAAAGGCAGCTGCCGAATTTTTCTTCAAATTTGTTGCTGACAAGGTAGGGCCCAAGAGTCCATACGCGCGGTACAAAATTTGATCTAAGATATTCGAGATTCGAAATAAGTCTGAGACAGTGCGATAGCAGCAGTGCTTAACAATGAGAGGAAATTAGTACAGGTCTACTCACATCAGAAGCGTTGGAGATGATTTCTCGAAGAAAAATTTCTTTGTTCGAGTAGAACGTATTGATGATCAAACTCATCAGCTGTGCGATCTCCGCTTGGAAAGCGAAGGTCTCCGTTTCATTGTCCTCTTCCATTTGCTGAACTTCTTCGATGTCAGGCATTTTGGCGGGTAAGTTCTAATTTTAAAGGTTTTTTCGGAGAGAAGATTGGCAAAACTTTAAGCCGCAACGACGCTTACAGAAAATGTGTCGAGAAACACGTGTGTACGCGTCAGTTTTTATAGCTGACCCATGGAACATTCTAGAACTTTCTAGAAAAACTACCAAAACGCGGCATCTGATTGGTTCGTTGAACAATATCCTGGAATCTGATTGGTTCATTTGCGCGCCACTTTCTAAATTCGGCAAATTACGAAATTCGCTGTCATGCTCAGTAAGCATTTCCGTTATTGTGACATTTTCTGGGAAGATCCAGAATATTCCAGAACCTTCTAGCGTTTTCTAGAACAGACGATTATTAAATATCAGCCGATCAGGTACTCTTGAAATCTTAAATGTAGAAACCACGATTTTCCTTTGAGCACAATGATAGATATACAACACGTAAATGCTATCGAATCTTGTTGTTTCGAGACGAGAAACCTGAAAGGGTTTCAGGATGTCGTTGAGAGAAAATTTTTGGGCATAAACGATGGTATCTTTCTAGAGTTTTCGAGTGACATGGGTAAATTATCGCTCGCTGAAGCCACATAGACACAACACGCTGATACGCCGACACAATTTTTGTAATTCAAGCTGATACGCCGACACAAATTTTGTAATTCAAGCGGACACGCTAAATGCACGTGAGTGTTTGACTTCAACCTTCACAATGGATGAGACGAGCGTTATGTCTGTGGAAGTCTCGTGAACCGTGTCAATTAATTAGTGTCTTAGGGAAGGGGAGGGAAGGCTTCTAATGAAGGAACCAGCGGGTATGCTGATAATGGGACATGCTCTCTTGTTGGATGGTCAAAACAATGGTATAGCTATTGTTACACAATAATTTTGTCTGCAGAGCGTGGGGGAGTGGGTGGGGGGAGATGAGCAAGAGCATAGTTACTCCTGGGATAATTTTGTCTGTAGAAAGTAGGGGAGAGGGTGGGGACGAGCAAGAGTATGTTTACTCTTAGAAAATTAAATTAAGAAATATTCTCACATAGCATTGCACAAAATAAATAAAACTTTTTAACAAATAAAAGATAAAAATTAAGCTGCCCAAGTGAAATAAGTACAATTAAGACACCCACAGGTCATCTATGAGGTGAATTGGAAGTCCTCGCCAAAGATAAATTTGTGATGTTTTCTTCTTAACAGTCTTATTCCAGTTTGACTAATGAGTAAATTTTGTATGCTTACCTTTACCTTTGTATGCTTAACTTTACTTCAACTCAGGTTGATGAAGCTGATCAGGCCCCTAACAGTACATGCAAATGTGCCATGAAATTTATTAGAAAATATTGAAAAAAATTGACAAAATTCATCACACATCCAACAGATGAATTTCTTTCTGTCTACCCTGGAGAGTTGTCTACACTTATGTCTCTCCTCTGATCCTCAAAGCCTTTGTTGCAATAGCTGCACTTGTATGGCCAATTCCTATGGTATGATCTGTCTTGCACTATCAGATTTGACTTAAGTGAAAAACATTTGTCACAATGAGTACATTTGTATGGTTTCTCACCACAGTGAACTTTAAGATGTCTTCACAAAGATTCTGACTCACTAGATCTTTTGTCACAATGAGTAGATTTGTACGGTTTCTCACCACTGTGAACTTTGTGATATCTTTGCAAAGATCCTGACCCACACTGAACTTTGAGGTTTCATCACAAAGATCTTGACTTACTGAATTGTTTGTCACAGTGAGTATATTTGTAAGGTTTCTCACCACTGTGAACTTTGAGAAGTCAAAGCTGCACACATATTTGGTTCCAAGAAGTGAATAGTTTTCTGACAGCAAAGAAAAGAGAGATTCCTGCTCTGTTTGGAAGGGGTGGTAGGCAACTGAAGTGGACAATAAAAATTACAAAACACAGTACTACATATGCTTCTCTGTTCATTGCTCTTTTATTACTTGGTAAGAAATAAATATAATCCATGCTTTTTTCACAATTTTAGATTTCATATTATTTCACTATTCTTTACTCAGAGGCCATTTTCTGGAAAATTTTGCGACATTCCTCAAGGTCATTGCGATTTCTCAGTAGGAGTTGTCGGTCAGCTGGAAGATTAGTGAATTTTACAAAAGGCTCCAAGGAACTGCTGGTAGCTGGTTTGAAATAGTGCAGTAAATCATGTTGAACACTCTAAAGTAATTGAACAAAAAAACAAAAAAAATCGAATTAACCTAAATGATGGGAGAGGGAGGGTCAATTTCAAAAGGTCCTGACAGTGCTCAAAACGTCAGCTTTAAAAACTCTTGATGATGGCCACTTTACACTAGTATCTTGTTATACTCCCCCACTGATGCAGTAGCACAGTAATTAAAACTTAAACCATTTCAATAAAAAAGAAAGAAAGCTAAGCAAGCAGATGGACAGATAAGCAGACACAGACAGGGCAGAGACAGATAAGCTGAGCCAAACAAACAGACACTCAAACAAGCCAAAAAGACAAACATTCAGGGAGATAGTCAGGAAAAGCAAAGACAGACATACAAACAGACAAACAGGTAGACAAATGAATATAAGGTAAGTTTCTAATTACAAGAAACTGTGGTGTTGCATCAGTGGAAGAGTAAAACAAGGTAATTTGGTATTATCAACTGACTTAATAACATAAACTGGCCTCCATAAAGAGTTTCAAAGCTGGCAATTCAAGCATTAGCCCTGACAGACAGACAGACAGACAGACAGACAATCAGTCAGAAATACAGTAAGACAGGAAGATAGAAAGATAGACTGACAAAAAGTAGGCAGATGGACAGACAACATACAGACAGAGAGACAGTCGGAGACAGACAAGCAGAGCCAGACAACAAGACACTCAAACAAGCCAAAAGACATACAGTCAGGCATACAAAAAGCCAGAAGGTTGGGTAAGGAGGCAGACATACAGATACCCATAGGTGGGAAGAAAGAGAGACAAAGTAGATACACTAACAGAAAGATTATCAGATTGATAGCAGGGTAAGAGGAAAATTTTCTTATCCTTTCCCTTTCAGACATGCACTGCATTAATCTTGGCTAACTCGAATTTTGAGCCTGGGAATGAGTTACTTCTTAACAGGCCTGGTTACTAGGGCCAGGTTCCCAAGCCAAACGGAGCTCTTCTAAAAAAACTAAAATGGTCGTGGAATAGCGAACTGAAGAGGAATATTTTACCTTATTTCGCTAAGTATAAGGGTTTTTTTTAACGACTACAAGATATACTTTAACTCTGTTGTAATTTTAAGTCAATTTTCTTTCTTCAAGTTTCTTTACTTCTCCGTACTAAAAATGAGCTTGTCCCACGGACAAGTTATATGAAAGGTTTACATGTCCGAAATAAATTTCTACCTGTCCCGGACAATCGGCGCACCCTGGATAGGCAAACAGAACGATCAAACTGTGCGACCAAGCTCCTCACTGGGAGACTGAATGAAGGACAGACGGAATTGCTGATCACAAGATTACAGAAGAAATGAGCCAAAATTGAACTAAATAAAACAGTTACCTCATTCTGCACTGCGAGAACTTGCTTCAAGAAATTTACCTTCTTTTTCAATTCATGTGAATCCTAGGATAAAATAAAAGGTTATTAAAAAAACCTTTGCATGACAAGAGGAACATTACTGACTTTAAATAATATTACTTTGTCAATTCTTACTAGACGTTTCGGTGTCTGGTATAGCTGAGTATCTAAACAAGTTATGCTAGTAATAGTTTAGACGACAGTGCATACTGACCTCAGGGTCGACTCTTTGAAAAACAAAAGAATTAACGTGATGAACAGCTGCAAGGTAAAACAAAGGGGACCACCGCGGCCTGAAATAAAGTAAAAGTAATTAGCACGACATAAAAAAGGGAAGCTCGTTTCGCCAGTAACGTAAAGATTTGAGACCAGTCGGGGAGAGATTTGGCGGACTCTACAGACCTCTTACTAACTCGCATTGCCCTAAATCTCATGTTTCTCGGCAGGCGAAGAAATGCTGGTGCCGGAGCGTCAATAAGTATAGGAAATCGTATGAACGCGAGTGCATTTCGTGATTTATGGGCACGAGTGATGTTTTGAAAGTTCTCAAAATTGCACGAGCCGTAGGCGAGTGCAATTTGAGAACTTTCAAAACATCACGAGTGACCATAAATCACGAAATGCACGAGCAGGTTCATACGATTTTTTATTTATTATATTCTCGGCCATTTTTTTATAATTTGGTGTTCAAATTTGGCGCTTCCCCGGTGTTTCCATGGCAACTTCTCCGTATTGCACTCTATAACCTCTATTGCACTCTATAACCTATTTATGCATTCATCATTGACCAATCAGAAACGCAATATTTTGTTGAGTATATAATAATGATGCTTATTAAAGGGCGGCGTCTATTTCAAAATAACAATATTTCTTTAATCTCTCACAGTAATAAAGGGGAATCATTTATGGACCGATCACATCTAGCAGAGTAAAGCAAAGACGAAAGAAATCCCAGATAACTTTCAACACTACATTTAACACTTGCTCAGTCTGTTTGTATTTATAAACAAAGGCGAAGTGTATTTGTCACGCGTACCTGACTGTTTGGGTGGCAAGAGCTCGTAAATAAAGCGCCAGTAATGACTGGTTCTGCTCAACAGGATACAGGAATTCCTCTAGGGGGATGGGTAGCTGAAGGAAACAGAGGGAAAAAAATTGTACTAGCCATCAAATTGTAGTTTTAAAGCCACGGTATTCTTATACAAAATAGTTACTTTATATCCAATCCCAAGATTTGGTAGAGAGCCGGATTTCCGTTCAAAAAAATATAAAGCAAACTATTCAAAATAGAGCTATCTCTTCATCACAACAGGTTAATTATGAAGTCAAAATAACTCCAAAAACGGCAATGGGATAGATAAAAAAAGGAAAATAAAAAGCTGTAAAATAGAACTTTTTGTAAATTTTATCGTATTGGGTAAGGATCTCGTGGATGAACGATGAAAGTTTTATACATTAGTGGTAGAGGAATATGGGACAGAAGAACTCATTAGGGGAGGAAAAACTTGGCTATCTCATAGCACGAAAAGGATGAAACTTCTGTAGATTTACAGCGACCATTTGATCTAGTTTACCTGGTCTAGAGGTATTGACAAAGCTCTCAAGACTCCTATGTGTTCATCCCAAACAGCTGTTCTAAATTTCATGTTGTGCTTCTGAGCCAAGGGTAAAATAACAAAACAACCAAAGAGAGCATCTCCAAAGGAGACTGCAGAGTACTGGGACAGGAGTGATGCGTACCTACAAGAAGCAAAGTCAAGGACCTTAGTTCACTTTCTTATGTTAACAAAATTTGATTGGGGAGTTGATAGTAATGAAAGGTTATGTTACAACACTGGAATTTTGTTTCTCTTCTGATTTTTGTCTTTCGTGAAGAAATGTGGAGATTAGATTTTGGCAAAGGTGGTTGGACAGAGTAAAAAACCAATCAGAGTGAGACTGCTGCCCAGGATCGAATTGTTGCGATAGCATAATGCCATATTTCAAATAATATATAGATTTAGCCAAGCCTAAAAGCGGAGCGGATTTTTTTTTTCCCCGCATGTCTCAAGGGCACAACGCCTTGCCCCGGCCAGGACTAGAACCCGTCCGACTCGGAGCCCAGTGCACTGACCACTGGACTACTGAACAAAGCCGTGGCGTTGGCGTGCCCGCGGTACAGTTGACCACGCACCTTCTACGGTCGTACGGTCGTACGGTCGTACACCCAAACTTTTTCGGCTTGATGGATTACTACTATTTTGTATAATTATGGGGCTACGCTCTGCGAGCTCCGCTATCAGTGTGTAAAATGATTTTGTTCAGTTGACACGGGCCCTTTTAGCCCAACATGACAGGAACTTATTCCTGTTTCCAAGAGAGTGAAAGTATTGTTATTCCTCCAGAGTGGAAGCTTGTTCTTCCCAAAGAATGTTGGTCTCACCTTTCAAAAAGGGTACTTAAATTAATGTCAAACGAGATGGGAGCAGGACAACTGCTGACCCTCAGCTACTTACAGGTCATAGAAGGATGTAAGTCCAGGAATTGGAGAATTAAAATCAAGGTGGCAGAGACGTGAGGGGCTCGTATAAATCTTCAAAAGAGCTGATAGATAATTGTGAACGCCACTGTCCAGGAAAAGATCATTTCCTATAAAAACAGAGTAGAAAACAGTAAATTACCTGGTGAAAAGAACAAACTGAACCCTTAATGGTCTACTTCAAAAGTTCTTTACCCCCTTAACCCCTTGAGATCAGTATCCATGTTCTCCACACTATTCACCATACATTTCCCGAGGTGCTGACAAAGAGAATTTGTTTAATAATCAAGAGCTGCTTTAGTTGGTGATCATTTCCTCTATTCTCATGACCTTAATGTTTGATTCAAGGGTGATATTGTGAGGAGAAATTAGATGCTAGTCACTCTTAAGGGTTAAAAGGTTAAGTCACCTCACCTGTCAAGAAGATGCACATAAGCCTGGCTATTCGTGATGCCATAGTAACGTGACGTAAACAGGACGGCCGCCATTCCTCAAGCAGGAGAACCAGTTGAAGTGTATTAGTTACTATGGAAACTGCCGAGCCTGAAATGGTATTGATGCTGTCGCCCTTCATTTCACTAACAGAAGTAAACAGACAAATAAGTACACGAACAGAAGTAATGTCATCCAAGCCTTAAATGATACTACTTTTTGGTCTTCATTTTGAATAAAACAAAACGGTTCCTTTACATCTGAACATCTACCATGAAAACCGAAAGTATTATTTATTTCAGGATTACAAAATTTATCTATCAAATGCATATTACATTTAAGTGGTTCACAATGATTCTATTCATGCAACTGAAACTAATTAAATAAACTGCGGCACCCAGTCTGCAGAAATGTAAATTCAGTATAACACAGCTGCAAACTTTGATATTTACTCACACACTTATTGCCAGGTTATACAGATCCACTATGGGGAGAAACACCCAGTCAGCGGGTTGAAGAGGACCTGCGCATGAGGGGACGATAAATGACTGAATATTACGCACTTGACAAAGGGCCATTGACCTGAGAGGGATTCAGAAGTGAAAATTAGCAAAGTGCACATAAACTGATTCCTCTTTTTCATGCAGTAGTCAGCTACACCTGTGCATGGATGTCAAAATGTTTCTCAAAATCTATGCCTGTCAACAGTCTTACATTTAAGTACGCCTTGAAACATAATCTAGGATATTTTCACTATTTAAGACATTTGCATTCTGTTTGGATCATCTCCATCCTTTCCTATACTTGTTCCTCAAGAGCTGTTCATTGCCTAGTTTGTGTGAATACATTTCGTATTCCTCTTTTAGATAAATGTAGTTTTAAAGGAGAGAAAATATCCTTGTGTAACTTAATGCCTAGAAGTGATAAACATGCAGATTCTCCTTGCGATTTCAATACATTATCCACCAAACAGGGAGTTTTCTCTTGGTATACCACCAAATTCTCTTGTCTAATTTACAAGGAAATGTCTGACAATTACAAGGGAGAATTACTAATCCGACCTTGAGAGACAAAGTGTTAAGACAGAACTCAGCTTTCATACCTAGAAGTTCTCAAGGGATAATTCATGCCCTCAAAGGCACATTTGAATGTGGACCTTATACCAGGTAAGTTTTTATGAGCCTCGGCTGTAAGATCTCCTCTACTTGTAGCTGTAGTATCATATGTACTTGGAACTGGAGGAGTAGCCAGTGTCATTTCTGAGAGGTCTCTGGTGACACCCATGGATAGAGGTCCATTCACTTTGCTGGAATGAAAATATCAAAGTGGACAAAACCTAGTCACTTGAAGGACACTACGATTATGTTTGAAAATGCACTAATTAATTCTGAAGCTTAAAAGCACAAAAAATGGCCAATTCACCTGAAAAACTTTGAATTGAACAATATCGTCGAAAGTAGATCTTGTGCATAAAACTCATCGCCTGGGAAGATCTTGGAGAATAGTGATAGAGCAGCCTCATGCCATAAGGAAACATAACATGAACACTCATCTGATTCTGGTAGTCCTATCTGCAAGCCGGAAAGTTATAAGCTGTGCTTTAAGAGGATGGTATATGCACTCAGTCACACATACAGGAAAGAGAGGGAAAAAAGCTTAAATAATGTATTTTTTCCTTACCAAATTACTGACAAGTTTCAACAGGAAGTACTGCAAATGATGCTCTTGACGAACAAAGAAGGATGAGGAAACATTCTGTTAGGAATCAAATCAAAATGATGACATTCAATAATATGAACTTATTGACTGAGTGGAAGAGCGGAATGCAAAAATATTTAACTCTAGGTCTGGTTTTTAACCATGGTCCAGATGCAGTAAGCTCCATGTGTCATGATTGAGAGCCTTGAGTGTTTTCCTGTCTACCCCAGTCAAACTCAGTCAATAACTGTTTTATCACATGACTGTCATTTTTTCTTTTTCTCCCTTTCCCCTTTTGGCTCACAGCTCATTTGGCTGTATGACTTTTTCCAGCACTGCTCTCAGCATCACACAGGGAATTTTTGAAGAATGCAAGGTAGTGTATGAGTCATATGATAAGTTCAATTCAGAAATGTTATCGCAAACTACAAAAAATCATCAAGTGTGTTATAACATGTTTACTTCCTGGTAATAAATACAATCAATGGTGCCTAGGCAAACCTGATCAAAAACAGTCCTTATACTGAACTGGATCATACTTGTTCACATGACATTGCAATTAGCTAATTATGTACATTCCATTCTACATGGAACTCCAAAAATTTGAAGCTTTCTTCTTCATTATCATATGAAGCAAAACTCTGTACACAAACCTGGGATTCAACAACAAGTTTCAAATACTCCAAGACAGCATTATTGGAAAGAATGGCAGAGAACTAATGATAAAATGACAAAAGAACCACAAATGAACAAACAAAAGTGTAAGTAAGATCATATCTTGTTAAGAGAACAACAACAAAATCTCTAATCAAGCATTTGCATTGAGTAATGTCGTAATTCAAGTATAATTTTGATACCCATGGCGAAAAGTGAACAGTATGGTTTAAAAAAGCAATTATTGGATGAGGTTCAGCATGACATCATGTGGCAAAAACCGAATTCAATAAATGCTTTATTATAATTTTTTTTCACATTTGGAAACTTGGGACTTGGAAACTACAACAGACTTTGAACTCAACATGATAAATGCAATATTCTCCACATATATTGTAATTTAACATATCAGGTTCACACACTATTGTAAATTGATTGAATGCTCTCAGCTAATCAGATTTTTTGTAATAAGTCTAATGTATAAGGTACCTTGTGGGTGATTCCTCTGTGCAATTTGGTGACATGATATATAAGTTCAATTATACATGATGTGAATGCAATAAGTTCAGGTCTGTTCGACTCCACCAGTTCTGTTCCAGGGTTCACCAGTTCTATAGAGCCAAAGTCTGGAAGACTAGGGATAGCCTTTCTAGAAAGCCTTGATCCTCCAGTCTTGTTATAAGCTGATCTAGAACTTCAAATTAAGTGAAAAATAAGATACTAACAATCACCAATAACAACCTTAAAGAGCAATTTTATATTGAGTGTCAAAAGTGATTTAGGACTGCTTAATTAGAGCTGTGATTGGTCCAGAAAATTTGCACCACTTTCTCAACCAATCAGAAGCTAATTTATAGTAAAATTAATCACAACTTAGTCACTTCATTTTTCTGCTCGTTAGGCAGATTATTTGTTTTGACTTTGAGTTCTCATTAGCTCCTAAAGAAATTTTCCTTTCTCCTGATTGGACTTTGCTGTTACTTAGGTATTGGTTTTATGACACTTAACGAAATAACTCTCTAATGATGCCTGATAGCAAATGTGCTGCAAAATTTTCAAAGGAGCATCTCAATGTAATTCACAAAAATTAAATTACCTTATTTGTGTAAAACACCAGTCCAGGACATGATGCTCTACCACTGGAAGGAGCACAGTACTGGTTAAGTGTTCTAACTGCTGTAGAGTCTCCACAGGAGAGTGGGATACCTGTGATCAAGCAGATTTATGCCAAGTTAAATCAGTTCACACAAGCAGCATTAGGCATAAATACAATGACATGGTTAGGAAAAGGCAAAACAAAAGAAGAGACAAACACCAACCTGGTCATGAAGTTTCGAGTAGAAAGCCACCAAACCAGCAAAAGCTCCTGACAGGAGACAGAGGTTTTCATACTGGGAAACAGGGATTGACACACAACTCAATAAATTAGTAGTTTATCATTATCTGACCTGATATGAAGAACCTAACTGACACATTTTGGCTTTATTTTAGCTTTATTTCTTATCTTAAAAAGTCTACAGCCTAGAAAACAATAAATGACTACAATTCACATGGTTTAATAGCTGAAGTTCCTAAAGGAAAAGCCCAGTAAAGCAAAAGCAAATGCAAAATTCATAGTTTACCCTATAAATCAAATAAGCATCAGTCATACCTGGAGATCTTTAAGACCTTGACCACAACCCAGTATCTCCTTGACCCACTTATTTACACATCCACCAATCAGAGGTAGAAATCCTGTCACATGACTCCAGTTAATTGCCAGAGGTGGTAGAGAGTCCATCCCATGACGTTCTGCTGGTACCTGCTGGTCAGCAGCTGCTGCAGCAGCCTGAATGACTGCTTCTATTACACCAAATATGGCAGCTGCACAGTTGAGTTCCAATCTTTCCTCAGGCATTGTCATCAAAATGGAAAGAGTTTGAATTGATTGCAGGTGTTCAATAAATGTTGAGTACATCTCCCTACAGGAAATAAAAAAGAGTTCTGAAGAAAGATCATCACCTTGGAACGTTAAACCCTTAACTCCCAAGATCTGACCCATAATTCTCCCCTTTAGCTTCAACACATTTCTTTATAATCTAGTTAAGAGAATTTGGTGGTAGATCAAGATAACAACTTCTACCCAGGATAGGTTTGAGTAGTCTCTTAAACTGTTTGCTGGATAATGTGGGGATATTATAGGGTGAAGTTTCATGCTAGTCATGTATGGGAGTTAAAGGGTTAACTCTTGACACCCTAGCATTTACCATCCAAATTCTCCATACTCTTCTATACACTTTTTTTTGTTACTGGTAAGGAGAATTTGTTTAACAATCAAAGCTTCTTAAGTTGATGATCATTTCCTTTATCCCCATGATCTTAATGAATGATTCAGCAGTATTTTTGCAAGGAGAAATTAGATGCTGGTCACCATTTGGTTTAAGGATTTAATCATTTCTGCCTTATTCTTTACCATGATCCTGTACAACTTGTCTATTTTGATTTAATCATTGATTAAAACAAAACTTGTTGCACCCATCCTGGTTTCCTTAATGATCCTAATATCTTTTGTGCAAATTAAAAGCTTCTAGCTCACCTAACAGCATCACAGCCCAAGCCATACAACACACAGACCCTCCATGTTCTTAAACTTTCAGTGTATAATGAATAAGCCTCTTGCAGTGCCATTTGCATGTTCCTGGGGTTCAGAGCAGTGTAGCGCATCAGTCGATCAGTCAAATTGTACTTTGAGATCTGCCACGAAGTACAAAATTTACTAGAACACTCAACAGATAGCATATATATTTTCACCCTTGAAATTTTTTTTCATCTGTAGCTAGACAGAGAGCATTTGTAATACAAGAAACAGACTACCATAGAAATTCTGTTCAATTTGAGCCTATTATTAAGTTTTGTACTGGCCAGGTGCACTTTGATTCGAGAAATTGTTTAAAATTCAAGGGTGCTTATTTAGGTGCTTGTATTAATTTTCCAGTGTAAAGGGAATGTCTAACAGTTAGTGCACTGACCTCCTGCTCAAAACCTCAAGGTTCAGGGTAGTGTTTGGACAACATGCTGTATTCTTAGGCAATACAATTTACAATCACAGTGCTTCTCTCCAGTCTAGTGAATTAACAGAGAGGCCTGACCAAAGGCTAAAGGGTAAACCTGCATCCATCAACAGGGAGTAATAATACTTGTAGTCTCTTCACAACACTGATTAAAAAGTCACAATAAATTCTGGGAAAAATGGGTTTCCTGTCTTGTAAGCTGGCTCTACCATTTAGGAGATGAATAATAGCAGAACTGAACTTACCAAAGTTGCAGCCATGTGTCTTCCTGCACAACAGACTGTCTGCAGAAGTCTCATGGCTGCACTGACAGGAACACCATATACAGCATCACTATCCAGCTCAGACATTTTCCATGAGAGGGGAAGAAAGTTAGTAAAGATGGTTTCCATAAGTCTGGGGCACCGCAGTACTTCATTGGCAGCTTGTGTTGAATGCTGTGATATTCTTGTCAGTACATCTAGGATGTCATGAACTACCAGAACAGAAGGATGACAGACCTCCAAGATGTATCTTAGTCTTGGTAAAATACTCATCTGGATCAAGCCCTCAAAAATAAGATTTTACAAGGTTTAATATTAATGGTGGATCAGTTTTAATTATTAATTATTTAATAATAAATGGGTCTGTCGATCAATCCCAAAAGGACACAAAGGAGTGAGGGTTAAGGTTCTCACATAATAGGGACTTTGGTTGAGAAGAAAAAAAATAGAAAGGTGTGCTTGTTGAAGGAAGATGGTAGATCAATTCACAATGGTATAATGCATGCTGCCTAACTAATTGGGAATAGCTAGTAAAAGTAGGAGAGCTCCTTAAGTTCATGTTATACCACAAGCATCCCAAACTTAAGTCTTGAGAAAAAGCAACAGATCAATTTATGAAAACATCACATGTTGTGTGGCATGGTGTTAAGATACGCAAGGGACCATTGAGAATTTGAACACATTATAAGGAATAGTATGGCAAATGAAATATGGCCGATTTCCAACCCTAAATATTCTGAAATATGAACATTTTACATGTAAGATTAATAAAACTTAATCACTCCTCGTGTATCCATTGTAGTTTCTGGTGATCTCTACTGTTTTAGGCTTGTTTTGCCTTCACTGTTATTCCTGTCATTGCTTATTGGAGGAAAAATGGTACTGCAAAATCATCTCATCTAGTTCGCCCTGCTGACCATTTCATCAACAAAGTTTTATTTATCTAAACTTTGTCTTGACTTGTGTAACACTATCTAAAAACTGGCATCAAGAATTGTCAGTGTAAAAACAACTCAATTCTGTAATCTTATTACTTTCACAACATCCTGTTTCAATAGTTCAGCATCAGTTAGATTGTTCTCCTCCTCCTTTTCATCCTTCCTGAGCTGTTTATTTTGTTCTTTGCTTTCCCTGACAGGAGAGAGTGCTGGAAGCTCTTGTCCTCGTGGAAAACCACACATCTTGTCAGCTAATTCCTGAAATTAAGAGACATAGGCCTCAGATTTAGCAAGTGAAAAATGAAGAAATATATCAGGTTATTACATTTACCTTATCACTTGGCACAATGAGGATGGCTGCTAATCCTTGTGTAGCAGCAGCCATGACAGCATCTGTTGTGTCATCCAATGACCATCTGAGAAGGAACAGGATTCCAGCATCCAGTAGTGCAGACAGCACATCACCCTGAAGATGTCCTTGAAATGCTCCCATTTGATCCTGAAAGGGAGTATGAAAAAGGTTTCCATTAGACTTGAAAATTATAACATATTGTTTAGTACTTCAACAGGGATTTTCATTGGGGTTTGGACCAAGAGAGCATCTGGATTAGAATTTATTCCCATGACAATTCTTATTAAATTGCTGCTGTGAATAGATTACTGACCAGGTATCTCATTATGTGCATATACCACATGTGCTTTTTACGCATGCTGAGTGGCTACCCCAGAAGTAATTAGCAGGTGATTAGCAGCCGAAGAGGCAAAATGGCTCTTCGACAATTTAATTTCCAACCATTTTTGGTATGTTGGCACAAATAAACTAAATAATTTATTTGCTTTATGGGTGTTATTCACTAAAACAAAAATTATTATTTACCTCAATGTCAGTGAAAGTGGTGGATATTTAGTACTGAACTGCAAAGCAGCAGGGTAAATATCTACCATTATTCACCTCCACTTGGGTGAGTAATTGTTAAAAATCTGAGCAAATACCAAATATATCTACACTGAGCTTGTACAATGTCTGCCAATCATTATTGATGTGAAATCAGAAGGAATTATTTCATGGGGTGCATGTTTCCCAAAAGCAAATCAGTGGAAAATATTCATTTTCATTAATTACTAAAAAATACACCAACAGTACCTGTCTCATGATTTTGGCCAAAACTTGCAAAGCCAACACACGCTGCTGTAAAAAGCTGCTTCTGGCCAGAATAAAGAGTTCTTCTAGTGTATAACCTGGAGAGCTTGGGTCCTTACCATGGTGATGAAGACCAAGGTACACTGGGATGTCATCCATTTTTGAAACTAAGCAGCCGTTGAAGTCAAAACGAGCTTGGTTTCCTTCCTGTTAGAACGAGAAGTTCAGAATGTGTCCTCAAATTTGAGAGATTCCAGCAAAAATAAATCCCAAGTGGCTAAATTACCAGAGCTTACATACATGTATCTTTATTTCTGGAGCTTTAAAGGAAAAAGTGGGGTGTTAATCCTTTAATTCCCAAGATCTGATTGTCAATGTTTCCCTCTAGCTACTACATATTTCCTTGTAAATTGGTTTCAAGAATTTGGTGTTCAATCAAGGTAATAACTTGTACCTGATGAGTTTGAGTAGTCTCACTACCTGCTTGTTGGATAATGTATGGATACCTTAGGAAGAAGGTTGCATGGTAATCACTCCTGGTAGTTAAAGGGTTAAGCCCTTAGGCTAATGATTACCATGCAGGACCACCTGTCAAGAAATCTGGGTACAAGACCTGAGCCAATTATTGCCTTGCGTTCTTCTGGAATTTTTCATCACCTTGCTTTCCAGAGCGCTTGGTGGAGGGCAATCTTTCATCCATTCTAGCTTCTCGTATTCCACAGTGTCCATGTGAATCCATTTGCTAGAGACTTCAACATCTCCAATCTTTTTCACTTCACTAGACTGTTTTTCTTGTATTCTATTCTGTTCATTTCCCTCTTTGATCATTTCAACATTTTCATTGAATTGGACCTGTTTTTCAACTTGGCCTATGTTTTCTCCAGTAGGGTTGTTACTGTTCTTGTGACCAACTTGTTTTTCTTCTATTGAAGCTGTATCCATTGCCTCAACCTTTCTTTTGTGTCGTGATGTCAAAAAAGCAACAAGATTTGGATCTGTAGGTAACAAAAGTCAAATCAATAAATCTAAATGAATATTTAGACTGCCAACAAGTGTAGCCAACAGTTAAGAATCTAGCACAACCACAAATGAGATTCATGCTCCTTCCTCATCTGTCCCCCAGGAAAGCAAAAACTATGCACATCAATAGACAGGTTAGCAAAAAACTATCATAGGTTTGAATGCCTTACATCTGCAATTTTCTAATATAACACCAATAATATATATCAATTAAAAAACCCCATGAATTTGGAAAATTATGGAATATATTTTATATCAACGAAATCATCTGTCATATGATTTATAGTGCTTGCATTCAAATTCTTCTTGCCAGCTCCCTGGGAAATGTATGAAGGACAGAATGGAGAATATGCATACTGATGTTAACCCTTTGTACCCTAACATCAGTATGCACATTCTCTATACTGTTCTCTATACATTTTCTAGGTGCTGACGAGGAGAATTTGTTTAACAATCAAGAGCTTCTTCAGTTGGTGATAATTTTCTGTATTCTTGTGACCTCAATGTGTGATTCAGTGGTGATACAGCAAGGAGAAATTAGATGCTTATCACTCTTGGGGTGTAAAGGGTTCTATTTCTATAAATTCTTCAGTTGCAAACTCACCAATGAGGATCAGCAAATCATTTCCTCAGGAACATAGTATAACTGTGCAACACAATGCAAACAGAAGCAGAATGTAAACTCACCCAGTGCTGATTTTATCCTGGCTTGCTCCTCCATGATCTCTTCATGTGTCATAGCTTCCAGCTTAGCTACGTTCTCTTTGTGGATTTCATCAACTGCCTTGTCCTTCAAAGTCTTTCTCTCTGAACCTTGTGCCAGACCTTCTCCAGAAATCAAGGAGGACTTTTGATATTCCACTGGACAAGAACCTGCTTGGGTAACTTTAACCTCCTCTATTGTCTTCTGTAAATTGTCTTTTTGGTGTTTTGGCACACCAAATGTGACTGCACCTGATGCAGCAAATTGCTGGGCAAACAAACTTTTTCTGCTTTGAGAAATGGTTTCTTTTGATGACACATTCTGTAATAAAGACCACATGCAATAAATCTCAGTTTGCAGAAAAAAGGGAAAAAACCATTTGGAGTTAAAAGGGATCTAAACAGATTTATGCATGATCAAAGAATTTGCATGAAGTAAACAAATGGTTTACATGTTGTATTGAAAAATTAATTTCAGGTCAAAATTAAATTCAGGCCAAAATGGTTTCAAATTATTTCTGTTCCAAGTTACCGTATTTACCCGTGTATAATGCGCACCCGTGTATAATACGCATCCCAATTTCAGACCAAATTTTGAGAAAAAAGAAAAATAAACTACTCAACAAGAAGGTGAAATTGTATAACATTATTTATTTCAATTAACTTGGCAAACTAACGAAATGACTCGGACTCGGAGTCTGACTGGAACAGTTCTCTTGCAAACGAGTCATCGAGCTCGTTGTTGCAGTCATCGTTGGCCTTGTAAACTAGGTCGTCCTCGGATCCATCAAGGCTGTTGGTGATCCCGCATTTTAGAAATGAGGATTCAATCATTTCTTCGGAAATGTCCTTGTGAGTTTTGTAGCCATGTTTACGTTTGATTACTCAAGATTACAGTAACTGTTTTGTTGATCAGCTGTTCGCTTAAATACTTAGTTAAATTTATTCAAGGATCCAAATTGTTAACATGTCATTGGTAGGTTAGTTTACCCTCAAATAAAAGACCAATTACATCGCACGCTTATGTGTCTTTGTTATTCTAATGTCGCGTGGGCCTAAACAAAGGATTCCGTGTATAATACGCATCTCGAATTTAGGTGTTCATTTCAGGAAAAATAAGTGCGCATTATACATGGGTAAATACGGTAATTACGAAGGACCTTGAACAAAGAAAAATCTAAATAAAACAAGTTTGAAATTGATGTTGACCTGAAACTGTTTCAAACTACAACATACCTATCAACTGAGTTGATAAGTTAAACATAAACTCAGGCCACCGTAAAGAGTTTAACCCTTTAACTCCTAAGATCTCATGAGTTATTCTCCTTACTGTCTGCCATACAGTTCTTGTGATGTTAGTTTGGAGAATTTGGTATTGGATCAACTACTAATACCCTAGTTAATATTTTTCTATATCCTCATCACTTGTCTGCTTGATATTGTATTGATATTGTAACGAGAAATTCTGTCTTGGTCACTCATGGGAGTTAAAGGGTCAAAGGCTGACATTTCGAGAGTTTGTCCTCTGACTCTAACTAAGAAGAAGAAGATTTTGTTAAGTCTTTCTCACTTGCTCACTGATGTTTCCACGATGGAGAACCATGGGAAATCCTCTTTCAGACACTCTTGGAGTAGCAATACTTCTGTTACCAATCTCTTTCTCCTATAGAGAATTGAAGAATTTTATAGGGAGTCACTCAATAAAAAAGATAACTGATAGTAAAGATATGACAAGATTCAACCTTGATCAACCCGTGCATTGAAAGTGATTAATTAATTTTCCATGGAAAGTCATATAATATTATGTTCCAAGGCTTCAAGAATGATCATGCTTCAGCAAAATATGGGCCACTTCAAAAATTACCTCTGCCACTCTGCAAAATGCAGGCTTGGGTGGTGAGTAATTTAAGCCTGATTCTCTGAAACCCTTTTCTTTTTCATAACAACAACTGCACATGCTATGTTTCTTGGTGTTAATAATTTGGATACTACAAGTTTGTGTAAAAAAGATGTACCATCCTACTGAAAGGTCTTCTTTTGTTAAGGCAGAGCTTGTGTTTTAAACACAGTTACCAATTTTTTTCAAAGTAGTCTACACTCAGTAATAAGTTTAGCCCTCTTTAAGACACGTCTTTTTATAGAGAAATAGAGTGGATTTTCTGTAGGTTTACAGGTGTAATAACACACACACAGGGTGTTGAGAGAACACATCATGAAAAAATCAGGAGCTGGAGGTGATAGAATGTGTGGTCTATTGCTACTATAAAAATTTAACATAGATTTTCTTTGGATGTACTGGAATAACAAACAATAAGTTTTTGACCAATCAATATCTTTGTCATTTAAGATCTACCATGGACACTTGATTTCAGTAAAACAAACTAGGAGAGAATTGATGGCCCACATCAAGTACATATGTGGAGTACTTATCATCCTGAAGAAAGAAATCTTGCCATTGTTACTAACCTGAATCTGAGACAGCACTGAAGTTACATGCCTGTCATGAACTATAAAATGTAAGAAAAAAGTAGGGCAACATTCAAATCTTTACATCAGCCAAAATTTTTAAAAGATCAAGAAACAAATTTGAATTTGGAAAATTGCATACATTTTTGTGCGTTTAATTTGAATTTGGAAAATTGCATACATTTTTTTGCATTTGTAATGTTACAGTATATTTCATTGTGTACTCAAGCTTTATCCAAGCTCTTCTAACAAAATTGCCACAAATTTGCTCTTATTACTTAATAATAAAACTCACCATCAAGAAGTTCTTCACAGTCCATTTCCTCTTCGCCATCTTGCCTTTTGTTCTTCTGTAAAGGATACAGAATAATATTTAGAAACTAAGGTTATAACCTATTACACTTACATGTACAACAATGAAATTACATCTTGGGCAGTCTTAACCTTCTAATCCTGATCAAACTTGTAATTCTCCTTACTGTCAACCATACAATTATGATGAAATTAGTTCAGCGAATTAAATATTGGATCAACTAATTTTTCCCAAATTCATATTTTTCTTTACTCTCATCACTCATCTGGTTAATGTTATATTGATATTGTAAGGAGAAATTCTGTCTTGGTCACTCATGGGAGTTAAAGGGTTAATTAAAATATTTTTGCCCAGATAGTACACTATGCCAAGGAAGGAACCTACAAAGGTCTCTTGATGTCTTGTTTTGAATCTCGATTTCTTCTTTGGTGGGAATCCAGAGTCTAATCTGCTGGATGGTTGTACTTTTGGAAGACCTGAAGGTAATGAAATGTCACTTGAAGGGCTTTAATATATTAGTTAAGCCCTGGCAACACGAACATGTGTAGGAACAGTTAAAAAATTGACCAAAGTACCAAAAAATTGACTTTTATCCCAACATACCATTGTACTTGGGGATACATCTGTCAAGGAAAACTCTCTTCCACAAAACAGAAGAGGAAAAAGACACTAATACTGTGTTCTGGTCTGACATGTTTAATGTTTGTGGGTAGGGGTTGGGGTTGGGTGGCACAGAGAGATGACAGATATGAAAGGGTAAAGGTTGTCATACAGCTATCTTTATGTACTGAAACAGATTTGCGCATCTCCTCATATATGATTAATTCAGCCATGATTAATAAGCTAAAGGACTGATCCCATAGCAGAGGTGGATCCAGAATTTTTTAACAGGGGTAGTCCAAAATCACTTTCCACCAACCTATGCCCCTCTTCGCTCTCTGTGACACGAAAAACATCAGCCATCTGTTCAGCAGAAATTTGTCGTCTTGTCATTACAAGAGTTTTGGTGTTAGACAAGTAGAAAAAAACATGTTTGGGGTGGGAGGGGGAGGGGTAGGGGTAATTCCGATTGATTGAACACTCCCTCTGAATCTGACACTGGATAAGAAGCCTCAGCGAAACTCTACATGGAGGTCAAAACAGAATGCACGCATGCATAATAAAACCAAATACAAACCGTTTTATTACCTTAATAAATCTATTCAATATTTAACTCAAGTAGAGGTAATAGCATTTCGTCTCAAAGACTTCATTATCCTCACCCTGTAACGTGACGACGTCTCTTGTAACTTGTACGTCGCATGGTGCGTCTCTCTTTTCCCCTAGTGACCGAGATTCCTCGCTTGTGTTCGACCGAACAACGGCTGCTGCAGGGTTCAAACGACCTGTAACAAATTTCTCTTGCAGCATAAGTAGATCATTTTCAGTATCTTTGGCTGCAGGCCTTGAAAACATTGTGGACTTTCAAGGTGCACACATGCCAAAAGATTCCACCATCTTGCTTTCAAAGCTTTGTAACCATGCAAGATTACTCAAGGGAGATTGAGTACTAAATTGTTTGGTAGATTCAAAATGGCGGATGAGATAGAAGCTTTGCGGCAAGAGATTGAACGAAAATCTTTGGAACTCGAATCCTTGAAAAATTTATTTGCACTCAAGGTTAGTTCCCTTTAAAATTACACCATAATGAAAGTTTTTGTAAATTTTATTGTTATTTTGCAATACAATCTCATTTTGAGTGTATCGTTCGTAAAAATATATTTATTGTAGAAACCAGCTGATTGGCGCTATGTTTATTTTCCTATTGACGTAGATCGAGTTTCTTTTCTATTTCCGTCTCTAGGAAAAAGAGTACAAGGCTTCAAACTCGCGTTCAGCTGCGTCAAATTCTCCAAATGTTGTAAAACCAGAGAAAAAAGAAAGGCTTACAAAAGATGAAATTTTACGCTACAGCAGACAGCTTATCTTGTCCGAGATTGGCGTGAAAGGTATGCAGTTTAATCCTTTAACTCTCAAGATCTCTTAAGTAATTTTCTTAACTGTCTGCCATACCGTTCTTTTGATGTTAGTTTGGAGAATTTGGTAATGGATCAACTCATAATCCCCTAACTGATATTTTTCTTTATTCTCCTCACTTGTCTGCTTGATATTGTATTCATATTGTAAGGAGAAATTTTGTCTTAGTCACTCTTAGGAGTTAAAGGGTTAAGTATGGGAGCAATGAGAGAAAGAGACTACTTCCTTAGTTATGATAATTTTGTCCGAAACTTGGTGGGTTACTGATTTGTTAAATTTATTTCCTTTCTTTTTTATTGTGACTGTGTTCTTCAGGACAGATGAAGCTATGTAATGCTTCAGTGCTGGTAGTCGGAGCTGGAGGTCTTGGATGCCCTGTGGCACAATATTTAGCTGCTGCTGGAGTAGGTATGACATTCAGTAAGTTAAGGTATTAGGGAATTTGATAGAGTGGGGAAAAGAATCCAAGGAATGACACTTTTACATAATTATAAACACTCATGAGTTAAAAAAAAATACACCTGTAATGTCTCATATTATTCTTTTGTCAAGTACAGTCCTTTCAGTTTTGTCTCAAAAACAGCCCCTTTTACAATGATGGAATCTAGCTTAAATGTTTCAGTTTTGTGTGTATATAAGCATAAACATGATACCAAAACATGATTAGATTGGGTGTCAGACATGCCATGATTGGTCATCAAACAAATGTTTCAGTGTCATTTGATCACACTTAGATGCAAGCAACAGTATTTCCCTTTGTTTCAAATTCATTGCCATACATAGTCATACAAAAAAACAAATGAAAATGATAATTTGAACAAGGTCTTAAATTTATTGTCTTCTTTTTCTTGTGCAAAACTAAACCTTTTACTTATTTTGTGTAGGATGCATAGGTATTGTGGACTATGATACAGTTGAGACAAGCAATCTGCACAGACAAGTACTTCACACAGAGAGTAGAGTAAATACCTCAAAGGCAGAGTCTATAAAGATACAAATTCAGCAGTAAGTAAATTTGACATCTAAACAGTAAATAAAAATAATGACACAAATAATTTTTTAGTCATTTACACATCATCATCATCAAACAATTTCATTATCATGTTAAAATCCAAATCAATTTACACATCATCATCATCACACAATTCCATTATCATGTTAAAATCCAAATCTGTCATGGCAGTATCAATACAGTGTCAAGCAGACAAGTGATGAGAATAAAGAAAAAAATATCAAGTTGATCCAATACCAAATTCTCTGAATTAATATTGTAAGAACTGTGTGACAGACAGTAAGGAGAATTACTAATGAGATCTTGAGTGTAGAATTGATGTCCACTGAATAGGGATTAATCAAAACATGGGTCTGTTACTCTGTTTCATTACCCAAACATTGTTTTGACTTTTTTTGCTGTTAGGTTAAATTCCTCTGTCTCTTGCATTCCATACTCCACACAGCTTTCAAGTGGCAATGCGCTAGAGATAATTGAGAAATATCCTTTCACACAATGTACATGTATAGGCTGGTATGTAGCTATATATTACTTGTAAGGAGAGATGGCAAAAGCTTTGAGTAAAGAAACAGGGAAAGATGTTTTTGGTCTTTTCACGAGTGTGGGACAAAGAAAGAATTCTGAGTCCCCACAAGGAATTGAACCTCAGACCTTCAGATTCCTTGCTCCGAAGCTTTACCAATAAGCTAGAGAGATTCTATGGTGAGCAAGGGCCACTGTGAAGCTTGTACATGACACTCATCCTGCATACTGCAAGGATCAGCAGTGTTGTGTCCGAATAGTGTCATGTTTGCACATAGAATAAGACAGATGGTAAACTTTGAGCTTGGGAAATAAATAGAGAAAGGTGTTCTTCATCTTGTTACGAGCATGGGACAAAGATTCCAGAGTGTTGATTCTGAAGGTTTAAGGTTCAATTCCTCGTAGGGACTCACAATTTTTTCTTAATCCCACCCTTGTGACAAGACGAAAAACATCATTCAGTATATAACTGGTTAGTCATTTTAGCCCAGTTATTTAAGTTTCTCCAGCCTACAAAGTACTTGCCTTGAATTTCAATACTTTGGTTAAGCTGAAAAAAGAAGTAATTTTAACCTTGTAACTAATAAAAAAGATTAGATACCATCCAGTTCATTCATCCAGAGAATAGCTATGAATATGTTTTGATCCTTAATTGGAAAACATATGATGTTGTGTTAGATGCAACAGACAATGTGGCCACAAGGTAAGGTTGTCTAGGCTCCAGTAGTAATTCCAATCAACAGCTTGTCAGTGATGGTAGAGTTAATTACACAATTTAGTTAACTTGGTACAACTTGGTATGGTATGTGCTTGAAGTTCTATAGCTGTTTGATAAATTTAAAGAAGGTAACAACTTCTACCTGATAATTTTGGGAATTCCTATAACCTGTTTGTTGAATAATGTATGAATATTATAGGAGGAAGTTACATGTTAATCACTTTTGGGAGTTGAAGGGTTAAAAATTAATGTTGCTGTTGACATGATATTAGGTAGGTAGGGTAAACAGTGTTTGTGTGGCACAGTGCCCTCTCCCCTCTGGAAAATCCCAGCTATACCCTTGTAGGGTCATTTGTAACTTAATTGTGATGCTGTTTTTTTGGAAAGACTTATAATAACTGGTCCTTGGTACTGTTTCACCAGATACCTCTTGAATGATGCATGTATCCTGGCTGGTAAACCATTAGTCTCTGGAAGTGCTCTAAGGTTTGAGGGACAGGTAAGATGAAGATCATTTTTTGGACCAAAACCTCAGTGAGAACAGATTTTGATTTGCTCTGTCAATCACAGGAATCAGATAATAAAGGTTGCCTTCACAGCTCTGTATATATCCACCACAAGCCACCTCCACTCCGGAAGCAGCTGTTCAATATTAGCATGAATTGATGCAAACTCTTGTGGATATGTCAAACAGCTTGTCTATGAACAAGTTTAACTTAGTAAGGTGGCTTTTAATTTAAAAAAATTGCTGGGTTTAAAAATCAAAGATTTGCTTGTTCTCATCAAAAGGTGCAAAAAGAAAGCATCAGCAAAATTTATTTTGTATACATGTACTAACAGCTATTGTTGAAATTACATTTACATTTACTATGTAATGAGAAAACTTTCCATTGGTATTTGAGAATTCTTATTTCACAAGAAAATTATTTCATCTATGTTGTAGCTGACAGTTTATAACCATGATGGAGGTCCATGTTACCGCTGCTTATTTCCCAAACCTCCTCCACCAGAATCAGTTGGAAATTGTTCAGATAATGGAGTTCTGGGACCAGGTAAGATTATGTCAACAAAGCTTCTTATCTGTAGGAATTAGTGCAGATTTTCATCCTTACTGAACCCAGGTCAAAGCAGTCTGAGTGAGGACTAGCTGTTACTACTGCACAATCTCTCCTCACTTGCATGAAAAGTTTCTTTTTTTGTTAATGTATGTAAATAGTAAACCTCATCAATCTGTCTTGGAACAAATTGCATGGTGTCATGCATTCTTTGAGTTAGCCTATTAACTCCCAAATTTTGATTTTTAATTCTCCCCTGTAGCTATGACAGAATTCCTTGTAAATTAGTTACAAGAATTTGGTGATAGATCAAGATAATGACAACTTCTACCTACTAAGTTTGAGTTTTCTCGTAACCTGTTTGCTGGATAATGTATCAACAATAAAGGGAGAAGATACATATAAATCATGTGTGGGAATTAAAGAGCTAATAACTACATCAGATACAGTATTAACAGTTATGTAACTTTGTTTTGTTTTATTTATTAATGTTTTGAAGTACCAGGAGTTATTGGAACATTACAAGCCTTAGAGGCAATAAAGATAATTGTTGGAATTAAATGTATCCTTTCATCAAGTTTGTCAGTTAGTATTTTTTTGTGAATTTATAAGGAAAGGTGTGTGAATGTTGAAATTATCATGACTAAAAAATGGAAATTTAATTTGTTTAATTCCCCCCTCCACTGAAAAAAAAAATACATGGATTTCTGCATAATTTTCACAATTCCTGGAAAAGACAGTCATACTCCCATTTATTTCTGTAAGGCGGCTACATGCTCCAATTCTTACACTCAATAATGTAGCTGTTTTGATAACCATTTTCATGAGAATACCTTTCACTTCCAAGATCTCATAATTAATTCTTAATATCATCTGCTATACAATTCTGATGATTGGAGAATTTGGTATTGGATCATCTATTTATCCCCTAATTGATATCACCTAAAATCCCCAAATTGATGTCACCAAATAATCCCCTTATTGATATCCACTGTTTGTTTGATATTTTATTGATTTTGCAAGGAGAAATTCTGTCTTGGTCACCCATGATAATTAAGGGTTAATTAATTAATTAATGTTTTGCATATAGGAGAGAAAAAAAATTAATATGGAGTTAGTAAGAATAACTGAATTGATTTAATGTTTAAATCTTAATTGTATATAATTTAGTTAA